GTCGCACAACCATAGATACACTATATTTTACAACAGATCGAGTAAGAAAATCAGGTGAAATTGAGATGATAGTGCATGGAACAAAAAATCTGACGAAGAATTCGTGTACAATTGAGGTGTTCGAGAGCGAAATTGGAGCCAAACAACAATTTTTTTTAAAAATTCTAGTGCTGACAGTGGAAATTCTGTTGGGAAGCACGTGATTTCTTTCTTGATTTCCATATTGATATGAAATTTTCACAGAAATCCCCAGAAATTTGACTTAACGACATTAGAATTTTTCTAAAGAATTAAGGGAAAAATGTCAGGTAAAGGATAAATTTTCTCTTTCGCAGCATAATTTTCAACAAATAAACCGTAAAATTGCCCAAGTGTTCTTGCAAAAAATGCAAAAAACGGGTAACGTTTACTACATTCTCTCCGCAATTCTTCGTCACTTTTTTCCTCCGTGTGAATAATTTTAGGGGACGAATGATGAGAGAAGTGCATAGCGCACATTAAGAATATGCTTGTGGTTGAATGAAGCAAAAAATCAAAATTAGATTGTAATATTCTAGATTATACAAGTGTAGTCAAGATAAATATTTATGATATACAAAATATATATTCTTAAAAGAGTTTATGTATTCCGAGAATAGATTAAACGTGTTTTAATATTCAGGGCTATAATGAATTGAAAGAAGAGAAGGACAAATGGTAATTGCTTTGATGAGAGACAAATTAAAAATTCAATGAGAGTGAATTTGTAATAATTGATGCATTCACAGCGGGTAGGTGAGGATAATTAATGATTATTACGTTGACAAACGAATTATGAATATTGTTAGGCGCACTTGTAAATACCAATGGCAAAATGGCCTTCAATAACTAAACAAACAAACCAGAGTAGTTGAGTTGGAGGAATTAACGAAGGAAATGTCGATGATTCCTTGATCCTAGTATACTTTCTAAACTCTTTGAAATTGTATATAACTGTGACATTTAATGACATTAGAAACCAAGTATTCTCATACATTAATGGAGAGAATGGAGGAATGAATGATTGATGTGTCCGATGGATCAGCCTCATTGACTCAAAACCGTAATGACTGTGATTTTCAGTTTTTCTTTAATCATTCATTAAAATTATCAACAAATCTGAATGATATCATCATCCACATCTGCATCGCCTGCAGATAATGACTTTAATTTTGTGCACTGATGATTTTATAGATAAAAAACTCCACTTGGCTGCAATTCGTTTCGGAATGTGTTTAGATATTTGTGGAAAGAATCGAATGAAGTATGATTAAAAAACCTACTCTTAGAACAAATTAGGCTAAAATGAGCGAAAATCAAAAGAGAGAAAATCAAAATTAGTTGTAAGTATCTAAGAACGTGAAAAAGTAACTTGTTAGTTGATAATGTATTGATGCGATTACATGAGAGAAAGTTCGTAAATTCTAGTCGTCCGTAAGAATATCCAACACTTTACGATATCGAATTTCCATTATTATGTGTTGAATTATTAATCGCAAATTCTCACATTTCTGCATTATTTATTGGAGTAAAAGTTTATTATTTTCTTTCTTTACGCCATATCATCGATCGATGGTTTTGTAACTTTTTTCCGAGACTTATGAATTATTATATACTATGAATAAATAAAATGAAAAACAAAAGATTGTTTATGGTGGTGAAAATGGATGAAAATATTTTTCTCACGGATTTCCTTGTAATCTTTCACAGCAATTCGTCGAGGTATTTGGGTGGGACTCGCCGGGGGATACCTGGTAGATATCACGTATCATGTTTTCCTCGATTCATTGACGTCATTAGTTCATAGACATAGATGTTTATTTTTTTGTCAAAATATTCTCAGTTTGGTGATTTCAGCAGCAAAAAAACGTGAAGCGTTTCTGTACCTCATGTCAAGTGATTTTTCATTAAAAAATATTGTATTATACTGTGACATAGTATCATATTCTTGTATTATCAACCCGTTGCGTGCTTCCCTGGGTCGATTCGACCTACAATTTTTGTAGAATATCTGTTTCTACTTATCCAGTGAGGTTGATTTTTATTACTCAATAGAATTTTGATCTTGCATAGTTTGAATGTTTAAAGGACTTTCAAAGGAAAATCATATCACAGTTTCAACAGATGAGAAAAAATTTCAGTTTTATTCGTTGCATGCGTTTGCTAGTAAGAACATAACATTGTTTAAGAGGTTTAAGTCATTTATGAGTCACTTGAAATGAAAGGATATACAGGTTTTATTTGTTATTATGTTAGACTCTTCATCAAATGTCACGCCACAGCTAAAACTGAAGAATTAAAAGATTTTCGTGGATTTTTTTTCAGAAAATATTATAATTTCTTACTAGATTTATATTATTAAAATTCTCGGCTTGAATTTCTGGTGGACTTGTTATGATTTTTTTATCAGGGGACAGTTCTGCGGGAATTTTAAGGAATTTCGCCATTGAAATTCCCAATTTTATGAAAAAACCAACCGAAATAGTAAATTTCGGATAACTGTATTTTTGAATTTTTAATTGACACTAGATTGGCCATCACAGGAGGGTAACCCCGCAGCGCGTCATTTTTCTTCTTATCATTGAAAAAAATTTAATTCGTTAATTGAAGTCTCCAGAATATTCTTGCGTTTTTCAAAATGATATAACATCCGGTATCCCTAAAGGAAACTGATTATTTATTACCGACGAACAATTTATTCTCATATTGAATGGAACCGCCGGTTGTGCGACGTTGCCGGAAACTCGCTACACGCGCCAGTCTAGTGTAGAGTGAATTCGGCAACGCTCGAGCCTGAATAACCCGGCGGCGAATCCCTGCGAAGGTGACAAGAGTCGTCGCACATGAATGTTAATGTTTAAATTAAAATTTCAGGTAAGTTTGGGAATTCCATAATTTTCTTTTCCTCAGACTGAATTGAATGTCACTCCCCAGAAATTTACTGCCAACACGGAGAGAAATGTTCAGTAAAAATTACAGAACTCACAATTTACTCACCGATTACCGAATCGACTCAGAAAATTTAAGTGACGGCATTATAATTTTTCACAGGAGATTCAGATAAAAATTATGGAACGTTCCGAAAAAATTCCGTGACAGTTGCGTCAAATTTCCTACAACCACATTTCGCTCCGGAATTACGGAAACGATACGTAATTTTTATTGAATATTTCTCTCCGGGAAACTCTCTATGAAATGTCATTTTTTTTCCGCCAGTATATTCCATTTTTCACTACAGTTTTAGTAAAAAAATCTACAAAGCCTGAGAGGAAATTTCTCTCCGCGCAATTAAATAAATCAATTCGTCCTTCTTCTTGTAATCACCGCAAATGTAGTGACAATCTCAGTGGCTTCCGTTAACGACTATTGTCATTACGCCACCCATGAACAATATGAGGCAAGAGTACAGAAATAATTCAGCTAGAGAAGTAGCATCATCGCCTTCCGCTGAATCGTGGAGTGGAATTTTGACCATGATTGATTGATTTGAAGATATTAAACTGAACAAAGGGGGGGGGGGCGGCGGGATGAGATAACAAAGTCAGATGGATATTTCTTTGTTATTCCTTCCCAATACGTCATTATCGACGTGGGGGAACTCCCTTTCGGTATTCCCTCAAGGATCATCAGCAGTCAACGGATTCAGCAGAATTGCACATTGTCGATGCGTCTCATGTACTCGCAGTGACAGATGAATCCCCGATTTCGAAAAGAGGAATGAATTCATGGAATGCATTAATGTCTCTGATCTGAGGTACATTCGGGATTCAGAATTGCTGATTTTTCTTTCCTTTTTGCGTCTGAGATTGAAATGAAACAGATGGAAATCCCCCGGTGGTTTAGTGTTGCCGGGTAATAAACTAATTATCAGATTGGCAGTTTTGCGAGTACATAAAGTGAGGCAGAAATATGGATTCTTGGTGGAATCTACCCACAATTAAGTGGATCAACGATATCTCCATGTACCCAAAAGAGTCTAATGATCTCAATTTCACACTCGGAGGGAAATTTACCTTGAAAATTAGATTATTTTTACAGAATTTATACCTGAAGGATTATTATTTTCAATTTTATAGAACTAGAAAAGCACTGCGCGCTTCGCGCATAATTAAGTCAGTGGTTCGTTGTTTTTTTTGACAGGTTGTTTCAATAAACAATCAAAGGATTGTATAGTTTAATGTCACATTTCTACCATGATTTTTTCCGGCTACAATTATATTATTTCACACTAAATAATTGCTTTATGTCACAAGATAGTTAGTATCTAGAACAGAGTCTTAATAGTTAATAATCTTTACTGAAGATTCTAGATTATACAATTTTTTTTTCATCTTTTTGAAAAAAGATATTTTCTAATTATATATATATATATATAATTATATATTATATATATATATTATATATATTATATATGATTTTTAAAAATATCTTTGAAAGGAAAATATAATCAGAAATAAATATCTTTTTTCAAAGACATATAAAAACAGATTTGTATAATCTAGGATCTTAAGCAAAGATTATCCTCGTTTATTGGATTTATTTGATTGCATTGTTTCAGGAATTCAGGTGTACCCAAACAAACGTCTTATTTGGCTGAAATAAACTTGATTTCAATCAAATAAAGACATTCACTCAATTCTGATAAATTTCTTCGAAATAAATGAACTCCTTCATGCATTTCCAGCAGAAATTTCAGATAAAGAGTTTTATTCAAATGCGTAATTACGAGTAATTGACCGAGTGTAAATTTGATTACAGATTTCTCGGCGTGTACAATAAAAATTACTCATAGCATCAAAGAAATATTTCCCCGATCGAAATGCGAGTGTTTGCATCAATCAGATGATTGAAGCTCATGACCAAGTATCGTCTATTTTCCGTCTATCGAGGTATCGAATAATACTCATCACCTGGCACAATACAATCGATGTAAATATTGTGCCAGCGACTGGGAAATTGAGGGAACAGAGTTTTAAAAAGATTTCTCCTTGTATCCAGCAGTTGTTAACCCGCCTGAAGTCGGCGGGCGCATAAATCGTGTCCATTTATCAGTGGAAATATATTTGTCAGTGCATTTGTGTCGTTAACATTCTGAGTTATTTACCTCACTGCGATTAATGTCAATGGAGGAGTCCCCCCGCGTCACAAGATACGATACCGTCCAGGAAAGTACAATGGAATAAATTTGTAAGCACGTTTAGCATTGTTAATTTAATATTTGTGTCGGACAGTTGATGACACTCAAATAAATTCAAACTCGACAGTCAGTCTATCCCAGTGAAATAGACTGGCCTCACATTTTCCTATTCCGTAAATTGACTCATCATAATGCTATGTACAAAACACCCGATATGGCAGAGCCCAGGGATATTCGACTGCGAATTCGTGCCGATACGAACGAATTCTCAGTCGAATCGCCAGCTGATCTGTATCATCGCTGATAATTAATGAGATTGGGACTGCAGGACAGTTCGTTATATAAATTATTTCTCGATATAATGATCGAAAATCGAGTGGAGCGTATCGAGTGGTTCACATGGTCGATGTCCGGCTGTAACGGATCCTCTGCTTCTGCTGTATCGCATCAGAATCGCCTAGTCATTCGCATGGTTCAATCATTCCACAATACAATTTCAACAATGGAGGAGAACTACAATCATCATCCCAGCGGCATTTCGTACTGATGGGAATATGTAAGTGCATGTAACCTAAGAACTGTAATTTTCTACTGTCGTATTCACCGAAGAAAAACGATTGCGCAGAGTCCAGTAAGCGGACTGAGTGAATAATACGGCGGAGAGAAAATTAATTGGTTCAAGGGACAGATCAACGGAATTGATATTAAATCCACATTATCTCAACTAGTAATTCACTCTTTGAAATTTATCGAAAATCCCGCTTTTGATTTCTCGTATCACAATATTGATCTTAGAAAATTGTCAGATAAACCGCCATCTTATATTCATTACTATCAGCTTGATAATGTGTTGAAGGAGGGAAATCACATGTTCGATTTCACTGGTAATGGGATGAAATTCGGATTCTATTAAATTCAATGACAGGAAAAATCCTCAATTCTCCTTGGCATCTTCCGTAAAAACCCCATCCCCTCTTCTTCACCTTTTCCTCTGTCACTCTCTCTGTCTCTCTCGCGTACTCCCTTTATCAGTGGTATCACACGTGTCTCCGCCGACACCAAGTGTCGCCTCATAGTGCATATGATTTCAGGCTACAGGGGAGTTACATAGAATAGTCTGAGGCATTTTTTATCAGTCAAGTGTGGTCGCGTGCAGCTAACGCACGACTCGCCGTTACTCCAAGTCGTCTTTTCGTAGTATCGCCGACTGGCCGGAAATCATTTGCGCTAGTCTCTTTTTCTACGATAACTTCATTTCGGGATTCTTCATTCCGTCGTATATTTCTCAATTCTGGAATTTCAAACGGTCCGCGATATCTCGAAAATTGTGATTTGTGTGATATTTGATTATTTTTTAACGATTCACTTGAGAACAATCAACACACTGGCGCTACATATCTCGTAAGTATTTATTGATGAATATCATCGGATGATTTCCGCAGCATGAAATTTTTTTTTTAATTGCATTATTCTATGATTTGTGATGAAATTTCTGTATCGCACGGGAGCTTTGATGCTCGAGTACTCTTCAACTAGTTCAAAGTCCGCAAACATTGTATGAGTGAAGAAAAATAGGTAAAATAGCATCGGAGGTAGATGTTAATCTCTATTTTAGTAAATTTGCTGACGATGGTATCTCGTAATGGACGCCCTATTAACGAAGAAAGGAAAATAACGATACATTTGATAATCATCGCTGGGGCCACAGTAGGAACTTGATACCAATATTTTTAGTGAACGACGGGAATGTGAAAATAATGCAACAATGAAGAATTGACACGCGCACACGCTCATTGTCATTGGAGACGGGCAAGACCCTTAGTGCCTCGAGAAATAAATTTTTCGCTGATCCTAGGAGGTATTGAATTTCGCGTAGCAGCGGAAACAGGTCTAGTCGTGTCGCTGATACTAGGGTTTACGCACGAGCGGTTGGAAGGGCGACGATGACGTCCCATCCACTTTCCGTTAAAAGCATAATTTCTCGCACTTGCAATCGTTGTGAGGACGCGATTAAACTTCACGGAACGCTACCCTAGACTGCTGGAAATTTCTGGAAATTCATAGAATCCCGACATTCGAGTATTCAATGCTGTGAAGTTTAATTCTATTTAAGATCAAAGCGTTCGTCTAACTTTTTATTCATCTTTACAGAGAAAGAAAGCTCTGATTTTCAGGGACTTTGTCAATGAAATTTGGCGAGATTCCTAGAAATTAGAGTTTGGTAACAACATCACTGAATTTCAAAATTTTGCAGTCACTGAGTTTTACATGTCAGATAATTATTAACATTTCACAGAGAGCTCGAATTCTCAAACTCATTGTAGTTAAAACTGCACTCTCGATAGATTGAAAATTCGCAATAAATGATATCTGATTTTTCAATGATGTTGATTTGAATGGACTTTAATATCAAATCGTCCCTCGATCTTCGTACTCATCTTTAAAATTCAATAAAACTGAGTTTTACAAGTCAGATGATTATTAATATTTCCCAGACAGTTCGAATTCTCAAACTTATTATGAAAATTGTGCATCGCATTCAATTAATTAAAAATTCAGAACAACAGTTACCTGAATTTTCAGAACACTCAATAACATTCATCCTCACATGGCCCTGAAAATAGCGATAAAGGCCCCTGCGAATTTGCAATTTCAGTGGGGTCTCCCCTTAATTCAATAATTCGTGTGGTACTTCCCCGTGAACTAATCGTTATCAAAAACGTCAAGATTGCTCACTTGAAATTCCAGGAGTAATTTTCTAACAGTCTACGGATCAGTTACGGAATAACCAGTCATATGATTAATTAATAATGTCAACACGCTTCCGCATGATACCTCAAATGTCGAAGAATGACATGCATATTCAAAGCCATGGATACATTAGAATGGGGAGATTATTAGGGTTTAGCTCAACAAGTTGAAAACTGGTGATTGAACCACCGCCAATCGGTTTCCCAGTACAGCGATAAGGCTCTGAACCAATCCACCACCTGTCGATGACTTATTCCCCGGTACCAATATCGAATCGTCACAGGAGATAACAGAGACACTATTTTCCTCCCCCTTTATTATTGTCATTTGGTTGAATTTTTTCAATCGCGCTATCATGCCCCACGGAGACACGACATTCCACGGGCATTAAACAAGATCAATGATTTCGCGGACTGTGCAGTGTGAGTGCTTCCAACTTTTCAATTACCCCCTATTGTCGATAATTTCATCACTCGGTTATTATTTTTTTCCCATCCAATTGGGCGATCAACTTTTGACCTCCCACAGCGCTAACAACTACAATTGAGTTTCCAATTATCTGCAGACATTGAGTAAATTGTAATTGACAATTGATAATGATACTCTTATTTTTAGGTTTAACAGATTAAGGCTGGCAGGGAGAAGAGAAACAGAGACGAGTTTGTCACAGGTAAAACCTGGAAGGACATGCTCGCTCATTGGTAATTTCTACAATCAGTATCAGCGCCGACCTCGGTGAGTTCAATCAAGACATTCCATCGGAAATATTTGTTGCGCAATTTTTTTTATCTCTTATTGGCAATTTTTTTTTTTTGAATGTTTCCAGCTCCACCAGATTGTCCGTAGTCGGGAAAGCCGAGACGAAGTTCCCGCAAGTAGATCCTGTTAGAAATCATCTTTCGCACAAGCTCAGGTATGACATAATCGCTAGAGAGACATTAATAATGCGAGAAAAACTGCGGGCAACGCGGTAGATTTCAGGAAAATTTTATCACATTGTGGTTTCACTGGCATTTCAGGGAATTTCGTCATTGAACATTCAAAATTGTATCGGAAAATCAATAGAAACTGTAAATTTCAGTTCACTTATTCCTTGAAAATCAATAGAAATCAGGAAAATACAGGTAGAAATATTCTCTAATTATGAATTAATTAAAAAGACTGATTTAAAATTTGAATTGTTTTGGAAATTTTCCTAGGAGAGTTGGAAAAAATTTACAGTTGCAAAACAAATCATGAAATCAAAAAGACAGGTCAATAGTAATTTTCAGGAAAGCGACATGAAATTCAATTTGGTACGGAAAAAATTCTCAAATTTCAAAGTTCAGAATCATTCAATGGAATTCAATGGAATTGAACTAAAATTTGAAGTTTTTATCAATATTCTCATCACATTGTGAATTTGCAATGCGGCAATCCCCCAGATGCGCAGTAAAACTGGAAATTTCCAAAAAATATACGAAATTCAAGTAAAAAATTCTCAAGAGTGTCGGCGAGATAAAATTTCGCCTTTACACAAAAATCGAAGGTTACATTTTACGTGCATATCTGGCAAAGTAGTAGTCCATCCGTTTGTTATTGCCACCGCTAGTCCGTAAACTATTGTCGTAAACTTATCGGCGTCCTAAATAATATTCTTCACATGCATGCATAAAATAAGTGGCTATGACATTGCCACAAATAATTCACTGTTAAGTGCGTTCGTATACAATTCGTGCGGCTCTGGATTTCCTGTTAGAAACTAATAGTTGTAAAGTCATCGTGCCTTCAATGTCCAAACGAAAAATTCATTTCTCCATTGCATCTTATTATTATGAGTTTCGTAAAAGCGGCTCACGACATTACATTAAAGTTTCATTAAGATTACATTCCAAATTATCATGATAGTCGTTAGGATAAATATTTTCGGAAGAGACACGGCATGTTTCAAAAATTTGTTATATTATGTTGAACCCTCAGACATGGTCAGATTACCGCACACGACAAACGACCCTAAGCTGGTGGATGAAGAAGAGTTGGAGAACGATCTGCAATTGAAAAGTAGCACAGAGCATCTGGTGACCGATACCATCGATGCTCCATTGAAACACACGATAATCATTCCAAATCTCGGGATGCCATCCGAGAAGAAGAACAATCAGTGCTGCGCCCTTGCCTACAACCAGATCGATTGTAACGGACAGCAATTAAACTTGGAGAGTCCAATGGATGATGCCAAGACCGGAAAGTGCAAGGAGAAAGCTGCCGGTATTTTGCAATTGTCAATTTTCTTCATTGAAATTCTTCTCCCCTTTTTGACTGTTCCGAGTTCCCGTTCGAGCCCCATTTGACCCTGAGTTAACGGACATTTTGCAATTGTTTTATCACTTAAACGTTAGAAAACATTCTAAAAATGTGGAAGAAATAAAATAACCTGTTCACGGATGAAAAAATTCAATAGAAAAACCTAGCGCTTTTGAAAATTCTATTCTATTTTTTGTGCCAATTCTATTGAAGATTATGGAATTTTATCCCGTCATTTTTTGGATTCGCATTTATAAAATCCAAGAAAAAAAACTTCAAAAATTATTGTTTGAAGTTTCTTACAGAAATAATCGCAATGGAATGAGTTGCATGGAAAAATCAACATCTGTATACATTTTTCTACAAACAAATATCTATTGAAAAAATGCACTTGAAAGTTACATATTTTTTAATAGAATTGCCGCAAAAAAATAGAATGTCAAATAAATTTTTTCGTACGTGTTTTCAGAAAGATTCACATAATAATTGGAAAACTGGAGTTTTTAAAGAGTACGGTTCTTTGCATAAACAATTTACAAATAATTTCATGCCAGAAGGAAGGTTTCTGAAGATTTTAAACAATTCCACTGACTTATTCATAAGGAGTGAATGTTTAAGAAAGAAACATTTTTTTAATTTTATTCACATTTTTTTCCTCCTACCGTTGCGGTTTTATAGACTCCAAGGAAGGAATAACTCTTCGCAAAAATTAATCTGAGTGAATCCACGAATGTTCCCGATTTTTTTTCAATTCATTCAACCGAAAAAATTGATGATTGACCAGTGAAAGGTATTGAAATAGAAATTCTGACGTCAGATTGAAGTTAGCTACACCGCAATCGTCACTTAAATTCATTTCATTTTGATAACGCGTGGAATATTTTATTCTCAACTGATAACCTCGAGTTATTGCTCCAACGTTGTTATAATCTTCAAGCCTTGCAGCGCATCATGTGCTCATTAAATCGTACTGCGATGCACGCGTATGAACGGTAGACATCACAATGAATAATTACACTCGGAAACCGAAAATTTATACACCTCTTCTAGGTGGGGATGGTTCGCTGTCGAGTGGATGCTCAATAGTGACGATCTCATCAGTGGCTAATTCAGAGCCCGATCCAGCATCTCCAAATGGACAAAATCCCCTGGAAAGAGGTCGAAGTGTTCTCGATGAAAGATGGCAACACACTGCACTTCAAGTATCTGTACCATTCTTCATCGCTGGTGTTGGTACCATTGGAGCTGGCCTGGTACTAGGCACCGTTGAAGTGAGTTTTTTTTCCGCCAATAAAAGTTTTATATCAATACTAAATAAAGTTTATTGAGCAGGCTTTATTGACAGTAACAACTTTCTCTCCCCCGGGGGAGAAAAAATTACTCCACTAAAACCTTTCTCATGTTGAAACCATAAAAACGCCGGGGTACATGGGTTAAAAAGTACACGTACATAAACTCATTATATTTCATTTCAGAAATGGGAAGTATTCACTAAAGTCTCACAGCTGTTCATCCTTGTTCCATCACTTTTGGGCCTCAAAGGCAACCTGGACATGTGTCTAGCATCACGACTTTGCACTCAAGCTAATTTAGGTAATATGAGCAGTTGCCGGGAGATCGCGAAAATGGTCATTGGCAACTTGGCACTTGTACAAATACAGGCCATTGTGGCGGCAATTATAGTCTCAATATTTGCATCGGCTGCCCATGCAGCTATGAATGGGGTTTTTATTTGGGATCATGCCCTACTTGTAACGGCTTCCAGTCTGTGTACTGCAACCAGTTCCTGCTTCGTTCTCGGTAAAATCTACATTCTTGATTTTATATTCCATGACATTAAGGAATCTCCTCAGTATTTTTTTTTCACGAGGAAAGGTCTAGAACTATAATTTTTAAATGATGATTCGTAAAGGGTCATAGGCAGTATCTAGAAAATATTGAGGCGTGTGATCGTTGTTTACTGTATGGAATTAATTGTTGAAGTGGCTCCGCAATCAAACTCCTCAACATTTTCCTCATAATTTTGTTTATTCATTAACATTTCGTTCGTCGCACTACGAGCATCGCGCCGCACTTGTTCCGGTTTTTAAAATTACACTGCAGTAAAGCTTCAAAAAAATTTTGAAAAAATTTGATATCTCATTTTGAAGTGTCCAGAAGCCCTACAAATGAAAATATCCGCCAAAAATATCATAAGTAGCTAGAGAATTGATAATTAAGGGTAACGCTGAACATAAAAAATCTCACGGGACTTCTTCAAGTACACGATCTAGATCACTCTTGATTTTTTAAATTTTTCCTAGATCTTTCAAGATCATCTTTATGCTAGTGCGGCGCGGCACTTACGGCGCGACCAACGCAGTGTTAACCCTAGATTGGTCACCCTAGAAGGGCAACCCCGCCGCGCGTCCTTTTTCGTTAATGACAATTGACTGGCTAGCCGGAAAAATTGAAAAAATATTGACTTTGTCAATAGAAGTGTCTAAAAAATTATAGTAGTTTTTAGAACAACATATTTCCCAAAATTTCCAAAGAAAACAAATTATTTGGAACAGATGAATTATTTTTTCCTACGTTATATGAAATTGCCGATGACGCGACGTTGCCGGAAACTCGCTAAACGCGCCCGGGCGGTGTAGAGCGAATTTGGCAACACTAAAGCCCAAATAGCGCGGCGGGGAATCCCCGCGGAGGTGACTAAGTCGCAGGGACGCGTTTGGTGCATAGAAAAGGCGGAACGATTTAGTTGCTGTTAACAAGGCGTTAATAGTTAACGAATGGTTAACACGATTCATTAATAGTTAATGAACGGCATTAATAGTTAAGAAGCCTCGTTAACAGCCAGACTAGGGTCACACAAAACTATTGATTGAAAAACGCTGGCACCTCTCCTCATTTCTTCTAAAACACCTGAGGAGATTTGTTGAGTGTATCTCACACTCATAAATGCAACATTTATTCCCTAGATTTAGTGATGATAGCGGTGATCATGGCAGCCCACAGATGGAAAATGAACCCTGACAATTTAGCAACACCTCTGGCAGCGTCATTTGGCGATGTCGTGTCTGTGAGCGTTCTAGCTATCATCGCGTCGAAGCTATTTATTCGTATGGAAGCAGAAGTGTTCATATTGTATCTGATTATCGGTGGTTATCTGCTGGTTCTACCCATCTGGATATGCATCGTCCTGAGGAATAAATACACAAGGAACATTCTAACGTCTGGGTGGGTGCCAGTCTTATCCGCCCTGTTCATCAGTGGGTGAGTGTCATATTACACAGCCCTCATGCACACGATTAATTTCACCCCATGGGGAATTGCAATCATGCATTGTTTATGTTACAGACTAGGAGGATTGATTCTGAGTAAAGCAGTTGATGTGCTCTCCGGATTCGTCATCTTCCAGCCTATAATCAACGGCATAGGTGGTAATCTTGTTTCAGTTCAAGCTTCGAGAATCTCCACTACACTTCATCAAACTTCAATTATGGGAATTATACCACCGTATACCAAAGTATTCATTAGTCCTTTCAAAGCCCTAGTGAAAGGAGGTAAATATGATTATGAATTTCTGAATTCTGTTAGTTTAGCATCATTTTTTACGGGCGGATGTGAAAATTTGGTGAAATATATTAGACTTGACTGTTAGAGAAAATGTAAAATTTTCACTAGAAATCCAATGAAATGGAACAATTTGATTATAAAATTAATGAACACTTTGAATTTTTGTTTAACTATTCTATAAGCATTAATAGTAACAAAAAAAAATTGCGTTAAACACATTTTTAAATCCTCAATTGATTGAAAATTCACGCATTCGGGGAATTCTGAATGCGGTAAAAATAATAAATCTATAATGAGATAAAAATGTTGAAAAAGTGCACCGAAAATTTTAGCACTTTTCATCCAACAGAGTTGTATTTTACGATTCTAAAGATCATGAAAATTAATCAGTTATAGGCAATTTGCTGCAACTTAATAGTTTTCATTTCAAGAATGAAAGAATGAATATTTAATCATTTTATCTAATAAATAAATTGCATGCAAGCCGATTGAAAATCGTAATGTTTCTCAGTTCCATTCGCAAATACTGCAAGACTACTGATCATCATGGGAGTCGTAGGAGAAATTCTATTCATATTCGCTGCCGATTACATCGAACAACGGCAGTCAACATTGCACGTTTATTTCGTGTTGTCTTACGTTATCGTAGCATTTTCACAAGTGAGTAAAGTCAATCAATCAATTTGTTCCTTCAATGAAAGACCCGCACGGAGAGAAAGATTCAGTAGCAATACCCCAAGAGCTTCAAAATTATCGGGTATTTCCCGATAGCTTTGTTGCAAACAAATGAGGGTGTCAAGTTTTGCGGTTTAAAAAATCCCGTGCTCTTGCGCGAGGGATTTTTCTGCAAAACTTGGCACGATGGTTTGTTTGCAGGGGAGCTTGAGGGAAATACCCGATTAATTTTGAATCTCGAGGGGTATTTGTCGGATTATTTTTCCCAATCGGATTTTGGCCAAGCAGAGTGCAGTGGACAACATCAGGAGGTGAATTGGGGAAAATTTGAACAAATTATGTTAATAGAATAACTCGATTTCCATAGACTGTCAAATATAAGATTCTATTTGAAATGAGCCGAAAAAATGGAGAGCTACTGCGAAATATTCAGGTAAAAAAAATGAAGAACTATTGCGAAATATTCAAAAGCTAAGAGGAAATATCCGAAATAAAACCGTCGGATAGCCTCAAATACTGCGCTCTGATTGGTCAAAATCCGATTGGGAAAAATAATAAATAAAAATTACGTATCTTTCCCGTAATTCCGGAGCGATTACGGAATTTTTTCAGAGCGTTCCGTAATTTTTATCTGAATCTCCTTTGAAAAATTACGATACCGTCACTTAAATTTTCTGAATCAATTCCGTAATCGGTGAGCGAATTGTGAGTCCTGTAATTTTTCCTGAACATTTCTCTCCGTGCGCTGGATAATATTGTTAACTGCCGTCAATCACGGAATTTTACCTTCCACAGATAATGCTGCTGCTGTATGTGGCCCACATAATAATCCATGCCATGTGGAGGTTCAAAATCGACCCCGACAACTCGGCGATTCCGTATTTAACGGCACTCGGTGACTTGACAGGTACCATGTTCTTGGGGGGAGCTTTCTGGTTCCTCAAGGAGATTGGCTATCCTTATGCCTTCAACGTTAAGACCTAAGGGGGTTTAAGGGGGATCAATTGGGAATTTAAGGAGGGGCTGAAGGGCGTGAGGAGAATGCCCCGTTGATTGGAGATTCAATTCAATATCGTTATACTTGATGATCATTGAGATATTTGAGGGGAAATTATGAGGGACAATTGATCTTCAGTGTAAATATTCAAGGAGCGAGTACAGTTGAAGTATTAGAGAAGAAAAAGTATTTCCGACTTGTCACAATCATGATAGAACGAAATAAATGGGAGACACTGGCGGTTGAACGAAGTGAGGGGAGAGTTGGCTCAAACTCATATTTTTAATATCTGTGATGTCTAACTCATGTATTCAAGAGCGATGAAAATGAAACAGAAATATTTCAAGTGAAAAATGAAAACAGTATGGAAGAGATTCTTTATTTCTACTCAATGGAGTATACTGAAGTGATTGCGAGATTCTTCTCCCCGTGTTGTCATAAGAAAACTGGATATTCATACATTGGCATACAATACTCAAGGAGGGAGTAATGCACTATCCGCTATTTATTTTATTGTTTTAAATGCAAAAATGTGATGTACGTACGTTTAAACTCCAAAAAGAATGAAAGAAATTTATTCACTTCGAAAATGCCGATGTCTCAAATTGAACAGTATGAGATATAGCGCTTTTAACTTTTTAAATCATTTGTATATAATTTTGAATGCTAATCGGAATGTACAAAGCGATTCAAGAAGAGTAATTTGTATATGATATTTGCAATTGGTTTGATTGTTCATATTTTCTGAATAAAATAAATTGGAAACATCGCACACACGGCTTTTTATATTCTAGTCTCCCATAATGAGAATATTCAAAACTGCGAATTTCAGTTTAATTATTGCCTCAAAATGAATACAAATCAGGATCACTTGGTAGTGAATCCTTATCTTTTTATATTCCATTCGATTTTGACGTGGATACGTCTATGGTTTCAATATGGGGGGTCATTTTGGGAAACGATCCTTATGTGCAGCGCCATCTATCGGAATTCTAGAAAATTCTAGACATTTCGAGGTAATTAGAGAAATTTCTTGAAATTTCGAAAAAATTCAAGGAGTTTTTAGGAATTTCGAGGAAATTCTAGGAGTTTCTAGAAAATTCAAGAGAATTCAAGGAGTTTCCAGGAAATTCGAGGGAAAACAAAGAGTTTCTAGGAAAGTCGGGAAAGAAGGAAAGATCATGAACCTATCCACGTACAATTACAGCTGTATCTAAGATACAGCCGCCTGCAATTTTTTTCTGAAATTTCACGATAATTAAACTTTGTAAAGGGCCGATTCAATCTACAATGTTCCATAATCGAAAATATAAATTTTTTAAATCCCAAAAAAGTGTAAAATGTACGAGAATAAATACAGTTTAATTCCCTGACCCACTGCGTCTCATCTATTCATATCTCCTCTTCTGGACCAATAAAGTTCCCTCAGCTCCACATGTTTTTTTAATAACATACATGTATGTATAAGGGCCAGGGTCTCGTGCGTGTTCAACTGACTGAGTCAGTGTGTTTCCGCTCGCCGCCAGCTGAGGACACACACCAAAGCATCGGCCTCGTGCATGTGTCAGTATTGCGTCCCGACATTTCAATCTTCGACATTTCAATCTCTAATGGCTGAAATTTGAAGTAATAACCTTGTGTGATAAATCGTTCTAATTACTGAAGTGACAGAGTGCAAGTGCATTGTAGTGCAACAGTCATTCTCGTGCAGACGAAAAGGAAGCATTGACAGTAAATTTTCGGTGTCGCTGCAGTCGTCCATACGAAATTGATAATTCACTCGTTGATGATAGTTTGTACTCGGCGTATATACACGTTCAACTGGCATTTTCCATTGAAATTGACGGCATTGTGTGACTGTGGTGGTGATAAATATCCTCACGCGCACAGCGTTCGTGAAATTTGTAGCGGTTTGGGACGAGTAGTTGATCGTAGTTACTCGGAGAGACACGAGTCGAGTAATTATGCCAGCGATAAGGTGCCAACAAACGTCACCAATACACGGTCGTACGTTGAATTACGCCGGAAAAGGTAACTAATTGGTTTTTAGACATGTAAGAGGTTTCTGAAGATTCTGGTTCTTTGATAAAGTGGATCGGGAAATCTTGAGGGTTTGGCGGTTTGTGGGGGACACACCTACTCATCATTGCTGCACTGTTGTTTTGCATTTCAATCATTGGCGATTTGTTTAGAATTCGTTTGATTTGGTCGGAAAATTGTGGCAAGGACGATAGTTCAGTGGTCATTGGAGGGGAAAAATAACCTGTTTATCGATAGTTTGATTTCATTAGCGATCGGGGGAGCATGAATCTGTTGCATCATTTTTCGTTGATGATGATTGTATTATTTTTGAGTTATTTTTATAATACATTGTTGGATGGTTTTTGACGTTGAGGTGACAGGAGCATTTGAATTTTCAATTTTGTGAATTTGAATATTCAATTTATGATCTAATTGCTCGGGGTGTTTTATCCATTGAATATTTCGAAAAGCAATTAATTTGTTAGTAACGACATTTAAAAATTTCGTGCGAATTCAGGTGGAATTTAGTTTATAGATAATATGTGGATTTGAATTCAATTTAAGATCAGATCGTTCGTGAAATTTGCTGAATTAATGTTTCAATGACAACTTGTATTCTCAAAATAATTATAAAAATTCAGCATTACGTTTTTTAAAATTTGTAATAGAATTCAGATTTAATCAGATTTAATTTGCAACAGAATTTAGAAGAATAGTTGGCTGAAAATTGAAATTTCATTGAATTTTCCAGAAATTAAGGGATTCGTCAGTAACAACGCCTTTGGGAATTTCACGTAAATTAGTGTTTCTCAAAATTTTTAACATTTTTCAGTCAAAATGTCAGGAGCAATCGAATGTTTGAATAATCCGTGAAATTCATGAATTCCAGCATTCCATTCTTCGACGCCAGGTCTCCACTTTGTCCTGTTAAAATACGATTTTTCAATTCAGGATGCAGCGAGGTCAGTTGAAGGACATATCGTCCTGGATGGCTCGTCTGCTCCCGGAGCCTCTGGACAATTTCGCAAAATCCGAGACCCACAAAATGTTCGGTTCTAGAACCACAGGATCGAGCACATTCTACACAGATCTAGAGGAAACCGATAATGATGAGACAATACTCCCAGAATTCCATAAGAATCAGGGCTCCCAGGATTCCCAGACAACGAGTGAGGATGGGAACTCTCAGGACTCTGATTCAGCTGTGTGCGTCGAGGAGCACCAGACACAGCAGCAATACACAAGTCATTCCTTCCATAGAATCGCGAGTTTCGGGGGCTTTCCGAGGTTCCAGCCATTTGTCATGTCTACCTCGACTCCTGGTGAATGCACCACTGTGGAGAGAATCGAGGAGACAACTTCCATTGTCCAGATGTCACATAGTGTACTGGAGTATAGGAGCAGCAGGTAATTATGCTCTTTAAACGGTTTAAATGGTGGATGAAGGATTAATTCAATTAGGATGTATTAAAAACAATTGTCAGACTTGTTGCATCACAGCAATTGAAATATTGAGCTCAACCTTGCTGTTGTTGCTATGAAAACATCACGAATTTTAATGCATGAAATAGAACTCAAGTCAATAGAAAATGCAAATTATTTTACCCAATAAAATTAAGTTTTGCCAATCAAACAAATTATGAACGATATATTCCATCCATTTCACAGATACACAACTTCATCGAAGCAAACCTCCAATCAGTATAATTTAGAGTCCTACGAAAACAGTGAATCAGAGAGTGATGAAGAGTCCGAAGACACACGATCCTCAGAGACAGAATTGCGAGTAGTCCCCGACGAGGAAAATGCACCTAGTGAATTGAAATCCTCCGCACGAATAGACAAATACGATTCGAAGCGAAAGAAAGCCCAAAAAGTTGCTGAAGAACTTCTCGACACCGAGAACAAATACGTCCACATTCTCCACCTGATTGACCAGGTGTTTCAATTCCGAGTGGACCAGGAGAATCGAGCACACCCAATGTTCCCCCCCGAGACTGTCCAACACATGTTTTCCAACATAAAATCAATCTACAAATTTCACAATGACTTCCTGCTGCCCCAGCTCGAGGAGAGAATGAAAAACTGGGACACAAATCCAAGAATAGGGGATATCATGAAGAATTTTGCACCATTTTTAAAAATGTACACCGAGTACGTGAAGAACTTCGATTATGCCATGAACTTGATAAGTACTTTACAGCAGAAGGTGCCACGATTCGCCTCGATTGTCAGTGAAATTCAGAAGCTCGACGAGTGTGCGAAGCTCTCTCTGTCCCACCACATGCTGAGTCCCATCCAGAGGCTCCCCAGGTACGAGCTCCTCCTCAAAGATTACCTGAAAAATCTCAGCGACGACAGTGAGGATCACGAAGACACCAAGAAAGCACTGGAGCTCGTCTCGACAGCGGCGAATCACACGAACGAAGCCATGAAAAAAATCGACAAATTCAAGAAACTTTTGGAAATTCAAGAAAGTATTTACGACGCCACTGACCTAGTCAGCGCGACTCGTGAACTCGTCAAGGAGGGTCGTATTGTTAAGATATCAGCGAGAAGTGGTGATCACCAGGAGAGATACTTATTTCTATTTAGTGATATTCTATTACTCTGTTCGATAAGACTGATACCAGGGCCATTGTATCGATTGCGAGCCAAATTTTTCATCGAGAATCTTGAAGTTGTTGAGGGTGACAACTTGGAAACTGCCAATACATTTTACCTGAGGTATGGAAATAAAAGTATTGAATTGTACACACATTCTGCAACGGAAAAGGCTGCCTGGTTGGATGCACTCTTCCAAACGATGCAGGAAATAATTAAGAGAAAGGCCAGTTTGAAAACAGGCAGCAATAAAACTGCACTTGTTAAGGCTGACAATGTCTCTAAGTGTATGGCATGTGAAGTCATATTTTCTGTTATGAAGAGGAAGCACAATTGCCGGGCCTGTGGAATTGTTGTGTGCAGCAAGTGCTCAAATCAAAAATTGTTGTTCGAGGATAATAAGAATATGAGGGTATGTCGTTTGTGTCATGCGGCGTTGACACAACCCTCGATTAAGTCGCCGTCTTCGCCGGCTGGCCCTGTGCCAAGTCTCCTTCAGGTCTCTGCTACTGCACCGTCCGTACTGTCTGGCTATCTTCTGTTGAAAACTCAGGCGAGCAAACCGTGGGCTCGCAGGTGGTTCTCACTGCATCCTGACTTCGTTCTGTACACTTTCAAGTCGGAGACTGAGAGCTTGGCACTCACAGCTACTCCAATGCCGGGGTACACCCTCACTGAGGGCAATGATCTGCCTGATGAAGATCCACTCAACCCCAGGGATAGAAAGGGAACTTTTAAGATTCATCATTCTAGGAAGTGTTATTATCTTCAGGCTTCCTCGCAGCAGGATATGGACAGGTAAATACTGTGCAGCTTTATGACATAAGCTGATGCTTGTATGATTTTTGCGTTATTTTTATAATATATTCTTGAACATTTCTGTTAATTAAAGCAATAGCTGAAATCATGTTTATTTGAATCAAATACATTGTTTGTTCGATTCTAATAGATGATTTATTTGCTTCAGATAAAGTTTAGTTCATTCAAATAAGCCATTTTTTGCATTTGAATTTTGCAGAAATTAAGAGATTTGTCAGTAAAAAAATCTTTGGAAATTTCATTGTTAAAAATTTCAGGAGAAATTGAATGTTTGTATAATTAAAAAAATTGGGGTTATGCGGATTTGTCGTTGATTAGGGTATGGTCCCTCTTTTAGTTAATTAAATAAATTGTAGATCTCATTCAGAGATCATGAAAGACAGTGAGTAGCACTTAGCATTCGTTTTTCGAAATCAAAAATATTTCTGCTCTGGGTTCAATTCGCCTCAAATTCATGTTACATTTGTTTTTTTAGGTGGATGCATGCTCTCAGTTTAGCCACGAAGGCTGAGCTACCTCACCCAAGGCAAGAAGACGATGCAGAATCATCGGGTCAGCCAGTGGAGAATCAAGATCCCCCGCAAACATAGAAAAACATAAAAAGAGAATGAAGAAACAAATAAAGAGAAAACAACGCACAAAAGAGCTAAAGTTTTTGTACCTTGGTATTTATGAAATTGAACTAGCCAATTTTTACATCTTTAAACACATCATCAGCATTAGCTATTTGTACATTTAAGTAAGTTAAATTATGTTACGGTGATTTGTTGGTGAAAATCGCAACTGAAGCGCTTGTTGTTTTGTAATATTGTGTTATAGTATATTTAAATATATATGTAATTATATCCAAGTGCTCGTATGCTTCGAGGAATTAAACTGCCAGGTTTCAACTGCACGAGATCGGGAAGAGGAGAAGAGAGGCGCACGCAGAATAGTTTTCTTTGATTTTAATTCAAAATTCAAGGAACAATTGTTTAATTGCTTGGACACTAACTTGAATTGGTCTCAGAGATCTTCAAGTTCGAAATCATGTGTTCCTCTTAAAAAATATATCAATCAATTCCATTGGCAAGATTTGTGAGATGGATGAAATTTAATAAATTTTCGTTATCTATCAGGCAAAATAAAGTATATTTTCTTATGAATCTCCCATTTTCCTATGACAAACATTTATATATATAATATTGAAGCGATGAAAAATTCAACGAAAATATTTTAAAGTGGAAAAAAAAATTAACGAAAATAAGAGAACCACAGTAGACTCCGCAGTCGATAAACTCACGTCTTCCCTGCCTTACTCACCGCAGATGTCAGGCTACCCCCTATACTTCAGATAATGCTCGCACTATAGATGCGTCAACACTCAAGTAAAGCGTAACCTCACAGTTATGCATCTCTCTAATAATCCCCACAACGATCAGTCCCCTCGAAATTTCTTCTAAAAACAATATCCATTATTTACCTTTCGTCATCACCAAAACCGTAAGAGATTGAATTAATAAGTCTCCCGAGGCAGTCCGAACTGCCCCACAGTGTTGTCTAACAAATTCCGAATTATTGAGGAGTAGAATAATGACCCTGTGACGCTCTGAAATGATGGAATTGACAAAGGGAGGAATTAACACAATGAAATAGTGATGCTTCCATCGACGGGCTACTTCAAATCAATAAACTGTCCGTTTTATGACAGTGGCTCCTGTGACAGGCCCTATTGCCACTTCAAACACTTGCGGAGAGGTAATTGTTGCTGCATTGCCATTACATTCGAAAACAGAACATTATTCCAGAGATATTATTCGCTCACCTTAGATGTTTGTTAAGGCCCCACTGGACTACGTTCTCAGCTAATTTTAGTACTTCAACCCTCAATTGAGTCCTAAATGATTAAAAGAAAAATTCATAAAATATCAGCTCTTAATCTCAAGTACAACCCCTGCCTTTACCCACGCACGTTTTTCCATTCATAAACTGTTGTGGTGGGATATGCCACCTCAATTTTCTGATTTTGTTAATTTTGTGATTGTATTGATCACACCACAGTGCAGAATTCAGGCTTCTGAACTCAATGCCCAAGACATTCCCGCAGATTTCGTATTTTTAAAGCCATTTAAGCTGGGCTTTTACTTGAAATGAAGAACTGAGATTTTCCCTTTTTTTTAATATTCATAACTCAGAAACAGATTTATCAATTGAGTTCAGTTCAGGCTCATCACAATGGGAATGAACTGCTTTTTATTGAAAAAAAATTAGTCGTATTAAAATTTGCTGAGGACCTGGCCACGTGGCCTTTTAATGTTTGTAAAGTATAAATTGACTTTCACGACTCTATTTTGTTAATTATTCATTTAAAGACCTCAATTGAAGGCCATGAACGTTAATGAAGCATTTATCACCCCCTTTCATTTGAATTTATACTTTACAAAAATCCAAGATAATTATACACGGAGAGAATATAAAATTTAAAAAACAATGCGAAGATAGTAATCGAGAGTCCTATCGAAACCGCTTTAAAATTTGATTTGTCTTGACAGAAGTTTCACTCGTGTAAAATTAAATTTTACTTTTATTCTACCACTTTCGACTATATCGACTCGCAATTTTTAAATAAATTTGTTAAATAAATAATTTTCAAATGAATAATTTTATATTTTCTCCGTGCAATAGCTCTGGGATTATCTATAAACTACTGAATCTGTCGAGTAAAAAATCTGAATAAAAAATTACATCAATTGTGAATTCCAGATGACGTTTCAAATCCAGCCCCCTCGATCCTCGGTTACACCACAATCCATGAGCCCGAGAAGACCATCGAATCAAGCGAGGGGGGTGAGAATAGTGGAGCCACCCCCCTACCAAAGACTCCAAATCCTGAGATGATACAGCAGTTAGTTTCCGACGCAGTCAGCAAAGTTCTGGCTGATCAGGGGGTCACAGATTCAGAAACAGTATCTAAAGACATTGTTTCTAAAGTAGTCGAGGGTCTGAAGCCAACATTGGCACCAGCCATTGGTAAACACAGTGGTGTCCCCCAGTCTATAACAAAACCTCCATGTGTATATAATCCAACGCCTATATCAGAGCTCAGAAAACGACACATTGCAGTGCCTGTCTACAATCCAACGAGGGAGAGCAAAGTTTCCGTGAAGAGAAAATCCACAGATGATTCGGCGAAACCGTGGCTCAGTGCTCTGCCTGAATCCATTAAAAACGATCAAAGAAGAATTAGTGAGATAACTTATAAACCCACTGCTATAGTTCACGACAAGGATGCTGTTGAGGGGCTGAATTATATTCCCACTGCTAGGTCAGATGACAGTAATTCGAGTGATTACTCCAAGAGGAAGGAGGCGTACTACCCGAAGTCTAAAAAACGTCGAGAGGAGTATGTTCCTAGGAAGGTTAAAGCTCCTCTTCAGTCTGTGCAGCAGCTTGAAGACATGACCCTCGACTCGTTTGATCCAGAGTTCAATCTGTTGGATGACATTCTCATTGGGAATTCGAAGAGTTTGAAGAACTACGAGAGTAGTTCACAGGATATGTACAACATTGAGGGTAAATTTTCGGACGAGGAGATTGTGGATTTCACTGGAGAGCCAGAAGCAACCGAGGAAGTACAAAAAATGGAGGAAGATACCAGAGAAGAGACGATTGTTACCGACGAGCTGGGGCAAGAGGAAACCAATAAAGACGACCATGAGGCAGAACACAATAACATTAGTTGCAGCAACAAAAGTGACGAAATTTCTGAGGCAAAAAGCCTCACAAAAGAGAAGACCACGAAATCGAATCATGACGACAAGTCGAGAAGATGTTCCGTTAGTTCGGAGTCGTCGAGACACAGTGAGACACACAAATCGAGAGAGCACTCGAACAAGGAGAATTCAACGGGGAAAAAGTCCTCGAGCAGTCACAAGAGCAAGAGCTCCAACAGTGATAAGGATAGAAAGAGTTCCCATAGTAGGCGAGACTCCAAAGATCACAAAAAGACTTCTGATTCACACAGATCGTCATCAAGCAGACACAGAGAAAGCAAGAGTCACAGTAAAAGTAGCTCCCACAGTTCTAGAGATAAGTCACATCAGTCGAGTTCTCACGGGGACAAGTCATCGACTTCCAAAGAAAATAATCACCACAAGTCGAGTAGGCACGATAAGAAGAAATCCTCGAGTTCGTCACGTTCCAAATCCAGTGAGAAGTCGTCGTCAAAGTCCTCGGGGCGACGAAGCTCGAGCTCGAGTCACAAGTCCAAAGAATCGAAGAGAATATCTAAATCAGAATCAAATAACGCGAAGGATCAGTCGGATCATGACTCGTCCAACGAGGCCTTCGACAATTTCATCGGTGAGGAGCTCTTGCAGTCTTCAGATTCTGAGCACGATGTCGAGGAGGAGTGCCTCAAGATCTTCCAAGAATATCAGGTCACCGAGGCGCCAAAAAGTATTACCACGAAGCAGACGAAAAAACCGGATGAGGGCGTTGAGGAAGTAGGTAAAAAACGCGTCGCTCATCCATCAGCAGAACACTCTGTAGTTCGCAATGCTGGACCCACTCAGCCCCTCAAGAAGGCACCCAATCCCCAGCAGAGAATGTACGATCGTTGGCGAATGATGAAGGAGGCCGCTGCTGACAAAGCTGCCGAGAGAGCCGCCAAGCAGATGAATCCTGAGAGAGAAGTGAACGATGAAAAAATTGAGGTGAAGAGTAAAATTTTTGGAGCTGTTAAAACAACGCCCAGTGAATCTCAGGTCAATGGAAATGGTAGGAGCACTTAATCACATGTTTTTACTTCAACAGAACAAGGTAGACAATAATTTCCATAATTTTTCAGGCCGTGTGAGGATAGCACATGTACCTTACGCAATGTCTCTGGCACTGTCGAAAAAGAAAGTAGTTGATGCCACATCGAAACCAGTGGAATCAAAGACCGTTGCGCAGACGACAAAAGGCACTCCACGTGTCGCCCACATCCCACAAACAGTGAGCAATATTTCAAAATATCTCTTGAGTAACATTCAAAACATTCATTCAATGCGATGATCTTGAGGATTGCTTCCCGATTTTTCTGCTGACTTCTGATAAAAAATAAAAAATATTTGGGTGGGGTACGGAATAATCGGCCTTGTGATCAGCAAAAACGATAAACAGAAACTCGTCGGGACTAGTTCATCATAACAAATTTGTAAAGCAAAATGAGAGAATAAGTTATTTACAGCAATAATCACCACAAAACGATGTGAAATAGAAGCAAATCAATAAATAAGTGTTAACAATGAAGGACAAACAGTAAATTAAGAATAATAAATATCATTATTAATTGCAGGTACCAACGCTGGTTCGTCCGGAGCCATTGCAAGTGGCAACCCAGAAGTTCGCTATAAATGTACGTCAGTATTACGTTAACCTGATGCACGACATTTGTGTACAAATATACACCAACGGTGATGACGCTGCACAGCGTGCACTGCGCGAGGAGCTTGCGTGTCACGAGCGTTGCAAAGCCCTGTCAGTTTACAAGAACTCGTGTATGCTGGCTGCTCACAGACTCAGGAAGGAAGTTGATCAGAGTGTGCCAGATGGATCTGTGCCGTCAGCAAGTGGAATGTTATCACACGATGCTGTGCTTGCTGGAAAAACAAAGGGCTCTTGGAGTGTTGTCAAGGTGAAGAAGGCAGCGACAGACTTCAAGGGTCCAGCTCTCTACTCTATGCTCAAAAAATGGATAATGACTGAGACACAGCTGCGGGAAAATGGTTTCCCCCGGGCACATCCTGACGGGCCCAAGGGGAGGGCCAAGTACTATGCAACGAGGAATCAGCCGTTGCTTTCAAAAGTGCCTAATGAGAGACTCTGCATTCGGTGCGGGCAGGCCTACATGGTGGACAAACGGGGCTTTGCGGTTACGGAACAGAACTGTATTTATCATTGGGGTCGCAAGTTCACGATCAGGGGGGAGGGAAGGTACAGCTGTTGCCAGCAGTATGGATCGGCCACTGGCTGCTCTGATGCCAAAAATCATGTCTGGGATTATGTTGATTACGATAATCTACGGGGTTATGTTTCTACGTTACCTAAGGATGGTCCTGGCGACCCGGAGGAACAGGGAGTCTATGCTCTCGACTGCGAAATGACGTACACCACGCAGGGGCTGGAATTGACGAGGGTCACTGTTATCAATGAGGATTGCAACGTTGTTTATGAGACACTTGTCAAACCGGATAATCCGATTATTGATTATAACACGAGGTATGGTGTTATTTATTATTTTATGGGTTTGTTATTATTTTTAGTTTTTAGTCTTACGTGTGATGAATCTGTTGCTTTTTAGGTGAGGCATTTTCCTTGAAATTTTTAGGGAAATATGGGGTGATAAAAATTTCTAAGAAGTGTACCGCAACATTTCAGCTAAAATAGTTTAATACTTCTGAGAAATTCTAGAATTTTCTGGAGAACTCTACAACCTTTTGCGAACATTTAAAAATATTCAGGGGTTTTAAAAAAAAGAAACAAATTTAGGGTTCTTGAGAAAATTGGATAGATTTTTTAGAAATTTCAAGAAAAAATGATGAACAGCTAGTTGATCAATGCTTCTCTGGAATTTTAGATTTTCAGGTATAACTGAGGAGAATATGGTGGGAGTGACGACAAGCCTGCTGGACGTTCAGGCAACTCTATTAACAATGTTTTCGGATCATACGATATTAGTGGGTCACAGTTTGGAGAGTGATTTCAAAGCACTAAAGCTCATTCACAATACTGTTGTAGATACAAGTATGATGTTTCCCCATAAAAATGGACCACCCCATAAGCGTGCCCTGAGAAATTTGTGCTCCGAGTATCTACGTAAAATCATTCAGAATGATGGTGAGTATTATGATGTAATAAAGAGGATAGTTTAAAAGGTTTTCATATCTATATTGTCGAACCATTATCTAAATTGATGCTGTTTCACGCCTCGTTTAAAGTCGGAGGTCATGACAGTAACGAGGATGCTGTCGCTTGTATGGAACTCATACACTGGAAAGTCAAAGAGGAAGCCAAACTTCAGTGAGTGAAGGATTATCCTCGATAAACACTGGAATCATTCATCAGTTTTCTTTAATATCGATTTGTATTGAAATCTGTACTATTGTACTGTCGATGACATTACCGAGTACTTCAACATCAACTTTTTCTCGAGAAAATGACTTATTGCACTCAATAAAGCCTTCGTTTGCCAACATATTCGGCGTTTTGCATTCAGACTTAGCAGAGCTCGTAATCCTCGCATTCTAATTACACGATGTGCATGTTGGATTCACCAAATTGAAATGCACCAACCCAATTTCACATGGTATAATTCAACAGGGAAATGTTCAAGTTTCTCAAATAGTTCTGTATCACATTTGGTCAGCAGTAGCTATCAACGAAGAAAAATCAATTTCTTTTGCAATTCGTGCATTTTGTTTTCAAGTTTACTGCTTTTATGTTTTACTATTTATTGTAACTAAAATTTAGTAGTATTCAATATGTTAATCGTGTAATTAGAATATGGGGAATTGAATTTCAGCGGACCAGAACGTAATGATAGAAATATTACGTATAATAAGTCATTTTGTCGAAAATAAGCTGTGCATTGAAGTATGCTGACTTTACTAACTCACTGTATAAATGTACAATATACGTAATATAATGAGGGGGCGGCTGAGGCGAATACAAAAATGCAGGATTACCCTTGTTTATACTTAAATACGCGAACATTATCAGTTTATTTCGAGAAATATTGTCGACGAAATTCAATACACCTTCATGATTATCATTCACTCAACTACTATTTTTGTACTTCGTTGGCTATTTATATTCACATTGATTAAACGTTATTAGAACAATGAAATTCATCATTTATTTGTTTTCTTTTGTACAGATGAGAAATCAGTTAACATGTTGTTATCAAAATTAGGTTTTGACACTTTGTCTTCTCTGTATGAAGCAACATCATCAAGCAAAGCTGTTATCACTCAGATAACTTCTACTATTTTATATAGTGCCGCATAAATTGATGATTCGTTCAAAAATTATCTGTTTTGATTGAAAAATATACTGAATATTTTGCGTACAACGACGAATTTACATTTGTTTGATCTTGTATTGCACAGATATCTAATCTAAGGTCCGTTCCATCGAACTCGATAGGAAGTACTTTCGACGGCACAGATTATTGACATTTTCTTCAATTCAATAGTTTTGGAAATGCACAAGTAGCTCCTTGGTATTCTCCAATTCGTCGTGGCAATTTATTTATCATGAAGTTTATACAAAATATATAATACTGAGAGCTTTATTTATCAAAGTCAATCGTCAAATCCGCGATGTGAATGGTGTTGCATTCTCTAATGTTACATTCTCTTCATTCATAAATATATAAGTCCTCCCAAGAAGAACGTGACATTCAGGTGTATGTATAATATTTACATTGAGTTTTTTCAATTAATACTTAAATTAAAATCTATACAATCTCTTGATCTACACCACTTGGAGATCTAATCTCTCTCGATGGTACAGATGAATTTTTTGATCATTGCACGTTCCACTAGATTGCCTGAGTGTGATTCTATCCCTGCATTATCATAAAAATTGGCGATCTCCATTGATCTAGGCGTAAACTATACATCGAGACTAGTCTCAATGAGATCTTACTAGTCAATATCATACGTTGTACATCAAATTTTCGGGGCATTGCTCACTTCAGTAGATACTATTATGAAAATAGAGGGGAATTTTTACAGATTAGGGGATGATTTCTATGGACAGTTCCTCTGAAAATATCGAAGGCCATTTCACTAGGATTTTCGTTCACCTGATGTGTCGATACAAAGGCAACTATGCCAAGATACGTTAGTTCCATTGAAACTTTTCAGCTAGTTAACGACTTTAAGACAACATTCATTAACCGTAATTGCATTGAACAGCTAAGTAGGTTTTACTCGTTCGTTGCATGTCTCAACTGTCGCCATATTGAGAGCCGAAGATTATTAGGATCTGCTGTCATCGGTCCTGATGACCTCCGACTATCCGGAGTGATTGTGTCTCGTGGTACCATGACTATTCAACACAGAAAACATTTCCTACGATCACACGTAAGAAAAATTTCGTAGAAAAACAGCGACTTCGCTAGAAAATGCTGTTGGAATTCTATTGAATTCTCTATTAGCTTTTGGCCGATTCTGTTGAAAACTTCTGCAGCTCATTTACGCGTTTTTTTAATAGAACTGTTCAATGGAAAATATTCTATAGAAAAAATCATGAAATTATATTGTTCCATATCGTTTTTTCTAGTGAGATACTTTCTGTAGAAATTCCTCGTTCTTAATTTTTGTTGTTTTGTTGTTTGATTTTTTTTTTCTAAATAAGGAAGAAACAGAGTGGAAAAAGCTAAAAAAATGATGTAGAGAAATTTCTGTAGATAGTGAAATTCTATAGATTTTTTTCTATAACATGGTTTCTATTAGCCATTTTCTGTGGAAAAAATGCGGAGTAAAGCTGCAGAATTCTTCAATAGAATCGGTCGAAAGATAGCATTTTCTATCGAATTCGGTTTTCCTACTAATTTTTTTCTCGTCTGGGGCCCTGCTGATGTTCGGTAGTCTAAGTAATGCTGTTTGATGGCTCTTTTGACATTGCTGTGATGTATACCAACAATGAGTGCTCCTTTTTAACCTCCGCTGTATCTTCTTCACAGCAAAAACCAAACTAATACATTAAATATGAGGAGTTTCAGAAAGTTCATCATTTTCTTTTTGAAATTCCATACTTTTTCACTAAAGAACCGATCCGTAACATCAATGGTAGACCCGACGTAGCTGGGTCAGACCCCGAAAGTCCTTATATTCGTCGCAAAATAAGACTGATTATTCTTGTGTTGAGTTTGTCATGCGTTGATTAGTCATGTAACCATTATCTTCCACGATCCACTTAATTTTCTTCACGTATCGAGGAAAATGTTGGTGCTATTCTCTAAGGCTTCAAAGCTTCGTCGTCGTACTCCTGATCACCAACGAGATACAAAAATTGGAAAGCTATGGCAAGCAAACTAATACCTAGGAGATCTCCCATGGCAGTTAGGTATGGAATCGCTGAGTTATCCGGATCAATTCTCCTCTTCCACATCCAGTGGATCATGATGTAGGCAATGTACAGGAGTGCTGCAACCTGGAGCATTGCAGCACAGAGATAAACGAAGACGAATAGTGGTGTGAGTGATGTGTCACCGTCCTTCATGTATTTGATCATGTAGATGAAAATTATGTGGCCGGGGATTACCATGGCCATCAAAACGCGTGTCGTTCGCGCGTGCAAACCTGAAAAATAAATATTTGTTATCGGAGGGGTTTGGAGAATTGCAACTGCACTGTTAGAAATTTCTTGAAATTTCCGTCAGCGTCATCTGAATTTTCGATGTTGTGAGGTTGAATTCAATTTCAGATGAATGCGTTCACTAAAATTGGGTTTTTCATGTTAAATAATCATTGATTTTTCAATGAAAGCTTGAATTTCTAAACTCATCGTGAAAATTGAATGTCACATACAATTCAGTGTTTTCAATAGATTGAGAATTCAGACCAGTTGCTGTCTGAATTCTCAAAATTTTCAAGATTTTTCGGTGCTGTATGGACCTGAAAATCGAGAACTATTTGAATATTCGAGAAACTAACTCACTCGTCAATGAAGAAATATGCGAAAAATTCCTGTAACTTTGTCGTTGTTAAAAATTTCAAGCTTTTCCACTTGAAATTTCAAGAGTAACTTTCTAACAGTATGCGCGGTACCTTTTCCGAAGAAATTCGCGATTGGAGTGATGAAGATTACTGGGTGGGTGTGTCCTGGTGGAATTAGGAGGGTTCCCAGATCCGCCTGTTTGTGGAGGGCTGTTGATATTCTACTCGCTTGCACTGCAACTAAGTTGCCACCGACTCCGTTAATTACTGGCTGGAATACTGTGAGATTCTCGAAACGCGAGACCATGAATTCTAGGATCAGTCCGCCGCAACTGAAAGTAATTGAGTCATTGTAATTAAATGCATGGAGAGCAAAATTTGTTGAAAGTTGCACCTAAATTTTCGGGATCGAGTAAAGTATCGACCAATTCGAATTTTTTAACCCTAGTCTGGTCTCCAAACGCGACCCTCCGACTCTGGTTACCTTCGCGGGGATTCCCCGTCGTGTTATTTAGGCTCAAGAGATCCGATCAATTAGCCCCTCATGTATAGATATTCCAAATTTTTATTTTTTTCCTCATTGAAGTAGTTTTGAAGATAATTGCGAGCTAATAAAAAACATTTGCTAGTTAGTACTTTTTTTTAAATAAATTTTGGAAAAATCATCTGAAAAAAAAGGCGTTTCATTATTTCCAAAAAATTTTATCACCAATCGATAGCAAATTGTTTGAAGATTTTTGCGAGTTAAGAAAAAATCATCAATGCAATCCTATTATTGTGTAAATTAACAATTCCAATTTCAACTGAAAACCAGAGTTGATGACCAGAGTTTGTAACAGAGATGTCAGACAAAATATGAATGCTTTTTTTGACTCAAATGAAAGAGCGGCTCGAAAAATGGCGTGCAGAAGTCTTTAAAGATGACAAATGTCTCTAAAAATAAAATGTTTTTTATTAGCTCGCAATTTTCTTCAAAACTACTTCAATGAGGAAAAAAATAAAAATTTGGAATATCTATACATGAGGGGCTAATTGATCGGAGCTGGCTCAACCGTTGCCGAATTCACTCTACACTGCCCGGGCACGTTTAGCGTGTTTCCGGCAACGTCGCGTGATGGGCAATTTCATTTAATATGGAACAAATAATTCATCTGTTCGAATTAATTTGTTTTCTTTAGGGATTTCGAGAAATATGTTGTTCTAAAAACTACTATAATTCATTAGACACTCCAGTTGACAAAGTCAAATTTTTTTCAATTTTTCCTGTTAGCCAGTCAATTGTAATTTTAAAAAAACGACGCGCGACTGGGTTTCCGTCATATGGTGACCAATCTAGGGTTCCTAGAACTCCAGTAGAAAATGCACTAACTGCAGTCAAGATTAAAATGTTTCAGTGGATTTTTTTATCTTGTTGAAAATGCCTGGGTGATCACATAAACGGTTGCAATTCATTAGAAACGAAGACGTCTTACTGCGTATGAATCAATTTTAATGCATTCACCTTTGAAATATTCCTCATCTAAACTTTTCTAATTTCTTTCCCCTATTTTTTTCTTCTCTTATTGGAAAATTCAAGTAAAAACTTAGTAAATTGGAGAATTTCCGTAGAAAATATCTCAGTCGAATAAATTAATCTAAAAAATATTTTTGTTGAATTTGAAAAACAACACTTGAAGAAGTTATTGTTTGACAAAATTAATTAATCCAAAATTAATTTCCAATATACCCGCAAATCTTTCCTGTGATCGTGTCCCCAATTAACGTGATTTATTCACCTGCTGATAAGCATGGCAACCATGACCGGTGTCCATCCAGAGTAAAGCACATCATTAGTGTATTTATTCCTCTTGGCAATCCACACCCACAAGGGAGTGATGAGAATATAACACGCGATAATGAGGGGTGCAAGCCAGTCCTGCTTGTCAATCGCCTCATAGAGGATCGTAGAGATCCAGGAGAGCAACGCCAGAGAGGTGATATCCCCGAGACTGGCTGCGATGGGAGTCGCCACATTGTCAGGATTGATGTGACAGTGTCTAGAGAATACGATGACTCCAGCTGTTATTAGTCCGAGAACGAACGACGCGAGGGATGCTGTCACGAGACTGCTGGCACAGAGAAGGTAAGTGTGGTCCAGCGATACTGTGCCGTTTCTGAAGGCACCCATCACAATCGCTACCACTGATCCTAGGAATCCAACTACGATTGCTTGGCACTGCAATCATTATTTATTGTTATGTTGACGAAGATTAGGACTTCCTTGGATAAACTAGATCAAGAAAATATTGAATAGTTATAGAAAAACATGCATTCGTGCGAGGCCACACTGTTAGAAATTTCTTGAAATCTCAGTCACAGGGTCATTTGAATTCTCGATGTTATGAGTTTGAATTCAATTTCAGATGCAAGCGTTTGCGAAATTTCTCATTCATCATGGAAATTCAAGAAAATTGGGTTTTTCGCGTTAAGCGACAATTAATGTTCCGATGGTCAATCAAGGCTGGAATTATCGAACTCATTGTGAAAATAGAATATTAGAAGCAATTGAATTATCAATGGATACAATTGAATTTTCGCAATTTTCAATATTTGCCAGTGTCGCATGGATCTGGAAATAGAACATTACTTGAATATTCAAGGAATTAACTGATTCGTCAAGGAAGAAATATACATCGATTTCATGTAACTGTCGTTGTTCAAAATTTCAAAAATTTTTAGTTGAATTTTTAAGAATAACTTTCACAGGGTCATTCGAATTCTCGATGTTATGAGTTTGAATTAAATTTGAAACGAAATGGTTTATGAAAGTTCTCATTCATCTAGAAAATTCAAGAAAATATGGTTTTTCATGTTAAGCGATTATTGAGATTTCAATGAAAGCTTGAATTTTCAATAGATTGAGAATTCAAAAAAAGTTGTTGCGCAAATTTTCCCAATTTTCAATACTCTCTAGTGTTGCATGAACCTGGAAATACAGAATTACTTGAATAGTCAAAGTATTAACTGATTCGTCAATGAAAAAATATACATCGATTTTATGAAGCTTTGGCGTTGTTCAAAAGTTTTAAAAATTTCCGCTTGAAATTTCAAGAGTAATTTTCTAACAGCTCATGAGAATTATATTTATCAGGGTAGGTTTAAAATGATTAGTGAAAAACATGGTGTCAATGTGTTTAACGCACGAGTCAGAGATGATGGCAAACATAATGAAGGTCGAGTGAACGTCACAGACCGTGAATACATAATGAAATAAAATCGTGGCGCCGATGATAAGGATGTATCAGTCCAAATGGAAACTTCTGAAATGGTAGACATTTGGATTTATACGTTTTCCGAAATAATTTTGCAACTGTGACGATAATATTTCACCTGAATCAGTACTAAATTTCCGACGATCATGTACCACTGTTGCTTGGGCGCATCCATATTACCGAGATTGGCTTGGGTGGATAGACGAGAGGCAAGAGTCATCTCTAAATTTCCTTTTAATCCTAAAAGTGCTGGTACCAGAATCATCAATTCACTGACTTTTTCGAACACTACCCAATGCTAGAATCATCAATATTACAAGCAATTACTAATGTACCGGTGCTTTATAATAAGTCGTGTACATGAAAATTTAATAGATTTTGATTTTCCATAGAAATTCATGGGTACAAGTGTTTTATACGGCATTTTTATTTGTTTGATAGAATAAAATCGAAGAAAGAAATTTAAAAAAATCGTGCCCAAAAATGCTTACAGAAAAAACCCAACGGAATGAATTAAGGATATCCAAGTATCGTTTACAGTTTGGTACAATTAAATGGCGTGAGAAATATTCGGCGTCATTAAAATTATATTTTGCACAAAATTATAACTTTTTTAAACATTGGTTGTCGATAAATAAATAATGTAAATTATTCAAACTTTCGAAAGCCTTTTTTTGAGGCATGAAATCGATTTCTAGTAAAATTCTGAATATGAATAAATTAGTTGCGATTCAGAACAAACGGTTTTTATGGTGGAAATTGATTGTACATCAATTATTTATAGAAAATGCTTGTAATTTGCAAAAATTGCTCTGATGTTCGACAACAAAAGTAAAAAAGCATTTGACTGGAAAAAAAAATCCAAAGTACTTGGATATCCTTAAACGAAAAAATCAACATTTTTTCCGTAACAAAAATATCGTCTGAAAAACGCGCTGGGTTTTTCTACTAAATTTAGTCGTACATGTTCAAAAAATCATCAGGAAGTTTACCTGAACAATATCTAAAACGAGACCAGCTCCGACCATTCCAAGTCCAGCAACGAGAAATGGAATAAATACTTGAATTGTAATAGCGAGATAGGATTCGACAGGTTCATTGGCACCGCCGCAGAGCCTGCTCTCGGCGACGACATCCGGGAGACGTCCACCGTCTCCATTCTCATCGAGTATCGACACCTCTTGACAATCATCACCGGTCAGTGGTGCTGTCAGTGCAGCCGTATTTGTTTCGGAGACGGTGCGCGACCTGTTACCGGTTGGTGTCATCCTATAGGAGTTGCGTTTACTCGGTAACAGAGGCTCCTTACATGGTCCACTGCCAACAAACAAAACAAATTAACTCTATTATTACCACATTTAACGTACGTCACATTGTTATTCTTTAAACGCTCCACGCGTTAAAACCTAATCATCGTACTCTTCGAATTTCACGGAATTACTGGTGTGCGGTTGTATTTCGTCCTCAAGACTCTTTCGATAGTGAACTTTCAAACTTTTAGGCGCCTGATTACCCTCCAGCATTTTACGAACAGACTCTCTCCCGTCAATCTTTCAACCACGAGTATAAAACAATTGTACTTTTGCGAATACAAACGATAAGAAATACATCCGTGTGGGTTACATGCTACCAGCGTCATGTTTGCATCATACAACAATGCAAACACACGAGAGTACTCTCGTGAAATCGGAGGAATTTGTGTATCTCTGCTGATTGCCGTCATATTGTAAATCTTTTCACCTCTTCTGTCTTTGAAAAATCATGGAATTTTTTTTTCAGGGACATGTCATTGATTTCTAGGAATCTGTCGGCAATTTTCGTGATACTGGACTCTCACTAGAATCGGCCTGATCAGCACTGATTTCTATCACTGAAATTTGGAGATCGACTCCTCAAAATTGACGATGAACCCCTGAAAATTAGGGATGTTCTCCTGAAAATGTGTGACGAAAATTAGTGACACAATCCTTGAATTACAGAATTTTATACGCATTGAATTCACGGAAAGAGATGTTTTGATTTTCAGGAATTTATCCGCATTTATTAAGAATTCGCGATTATGAAATTCATTGATTTTGTCACTGTCAATTTTCAGTGACATTATCACTAATTTCCCGTGATATCGGCGCCAATTTACAGTGACATCATCATTAACTTTCACAGTAATGTCACTGTTTTTCAGGACGCATCTTCATTTTATGGGAATTTATCACCAAACTGCAGTGATAAAAATCACTGATAAGTCACCAATAATTGGTGACAGATTTATGAAAATTAGTTACATGTCCCAGGAAATAAATGACATGTTCCTGAAAATCAGTGATATATCCCTGAAAAAATTTGTTGTCTCTGTGTTTCCCAATCGCGAATTCCTCAAAATTAGGAATAGCCTCCTAAAAATTAGGAAAGGATCACTTACAATCAGTGACATGTCCTCGAAAACAGAAACCTCTTTATGCAGTGATCTTTACCACTCAAAAATTCAATCTTCCACTCTTTTATGATGCACGCGTCCTTGATTGTTGCGGTGAAAAATTCGATTCTCCGGGCTATTTTTACCCCCTGCATGAAGTCAAGGTACAACTTGTGGTATTAATGCACGCATGAATAGTCACATCGGTGCTACTTGAATTACTGACCATGTGGAGCTTCGGCACGTGGTAGTTGCACGACTTATTGCAATCACTTGATCAGAGAATTCATTAAGTGCTCATGATTTTTCAGTAGGTGGTTCGGTCAGTCCAAGAATCTCATTGTTTTTTTTTCTATGAAAATTGTAATATATATCAAACTCTCCAAGGATGCTGTTACATATTCAAAAACATACACGGAGAAAAAATCAACGAAATGGCAATCAAATTGTGCTTCATAGAATTTTAATTGAAATTGAGGAAAAAAATTTGAGGCAAATGAATTTTTTGAGCTAAAAGTATAAAATTTGTAAATACACAAACCCACATTTCGTTGACATTTCGTTATCTTTTTTGTCCATGCAGATGAAGGAAAATTCTCACCTCACAGACAGAAGAATCTGGCGATCGTGAGAATCAGAATGAGGAGGCGAGAATTGAAGAAGAAAACTGAAGATTCAGTGATATTTCTGCGGCAGATTTTCGCGAGAATTGGTGGTGACAGCACTCGAGTATTAAACATCGAGTTGTTCTTCTCGCAGGCCACTCGAGGGGCCGTATCATGATACGGTTACATCGCGACTGACAGACCAGACGAGAATAGACGACTTGAAAGAGCACCCCCAAGTGTACCGCCAACATGACGTAGGACTCGGTGTAGGCAGGCGCATACTTATCGATCACAGGATACGATATACGCGAGTGTAGTTCCAGTAGCTCGGTTGCAAGCGTTACTGGATTTTCCACTGATTTTTCTAGCTGTGGGTGTCGACGAAACATCGAGACTGGTCTGTCGCATCCCATGCATGTGGGTGGGGAAATTTTCACGGCGAGAGGGGGATATGATATTTAGATCCTTCGTATCTCGCCACGTGTAGGAGTGGGTGGATGAAATGACATTTGAACTTTCGCATTGCTCGCGATGGAGTCAAAGGAATGATTTCATTCTTTTCTGTTTCCATGCAGCAGTGATTCCATTAAAATAAAGCTGTGTATGAAATAATATTACGTTTTATTGGAAAACCGGAGAGGAAAATTGCAGTTCAGGAATTTTTATTTGACATCGAGGAAAAAATATGAGGCAATCAATGTTCTCGTTTACAATTTTCTTTTTCGATACCAATCGATGAAATTTCTGGGTTTTTCATGACAAAGTACGGAAAAAACGGAAATGACAGTTGAACTTTCGAATTGTTCGCGATGGAGTCTTTTTCTTTAATGCAGCAGTGATTCCAACCGAAGAGGAAAATTGCGTTTCAGGAATTTTTATTTTACATCAAGGAAAAAATGGGAGGCAATTAATTTTCTCGTTTACAATTTAATTTCTTTATACCAATCCATGAAATTTCTGGTTTTTCCATGACAAAACACGGAAAAAACAGAAATGATATTTGATCTTCCGAATTGATTGCGGTGGAGTCAAAGGGAATGATTTCATTCATTTTTGCTTTGATGCAGCAGTGATTCCATTAAAAGAAAATGATGGATGAAATTATATTCCATTTTATTGGAAAAAATCAAACAAATAATTGCACAATCTAGGTAACCGGAGAGGAAAATTGCCTTTCAGGAATTTTGGTTTGACATCAAGAAAAAAAAATACGAGGCAATAAATTTTATTTCAATTTTTAAAAAATAGAGCTATTGTCATCGATAATAGATAGACCTTTATCGATAATAAATAAATCCTCCCGCCAGTGCAACCCTTTTTACCCTTTTTCCTATTAAAATATGAATTTCGCGACAAGAATGAACAATCGGTGTATTCGTCATCTAAATAGCCACCTCCGGTCGTTAAATTTTGACATCCGGTTCGACCAAAAAAAATATACAAGCCCAACGATAACATTGAATAATAAACACGGTATTTTCACTGACGGAGTTTTGTCTGCTAATGTAGAATCAAATGGACTAGCGTATCAGCGCTTATGTGTCGATTGTGTTAGTTGTCACAAGTTGATATTAAGCTCAGTCGGTGGCTGGTGGTTAGTAGTAGCAGGGGCAATTTGTATTCTGGTAACTTCTGGACTAGGTCACATCCATGGAGGCCCACTTTTCTGATTACCCGGTTAAACGTTTGGATTTCGTTCTAATTTTTCAACGTCAACGCGGTCGCCAGCTGATGTCTCTGTATTATCTTATGTTAGGGCCAAAATTGCGGGTTTTATTGGTGTTGAACGGGGGGATGCTATTTTTATTTCTCGCTTGAATTGTCACGTACGAAAAAAATCCATAGGAAAACTCTATTGGACAAATTCTACTAAATTCAACTCTTATTGGAAATTCTATTTGTTTTTTGGCGATTCTATGAATACACTCCGCAGCTTTTCTGCGTATTTTTTCTAGTAGAAATTTTTAGCGGGAAATATTGGATTAGATAAATCCGTACATTCCGATCCTTCTGTGTAGCTTAAGAATTTAATACAATTTCCCACGTTTTTTCGCTTGAATTTTTTACTCAGAGAAGAAGGAACATGCATTAAAATTCTACGCATTTTTGCTTGTAGAAATTCCATAGAGAAATTCTTACACGGAGAGAAATATTCAATAAAAATTACGTCTTTTGCGTAATTCCGAAGCGAAATGTGGTTGTAGGAAATTTTACGGAACTGTAACGGAATTTTTCCAGAGCGTTCCGTAATTTTTATCTGAATCTCCTGTGAAAAATTACGATACCGTCACTTAAATTTTCTGAGTCCATTCCGTAATCGGTGAGCGAATTGCGAGTTCCGTAATTTTTACTGAACATTTCTCTCCGTGTAATAGAATAATTTATATAGAAATTTTTCGTAGAAAATTTCACACAAATTCCAATGTTTTTTTACTTGATTTTTTTTCTGGGAGGAGAAAAAACGTTAAAACTCAGCAAATTTAAAGTTATCGGAATTTTATAGAGGAATTTTCAATAGAATAATCTAAACTGAAATTTCAAAACCTAAATCAAAACATCGAGATCTTTCTTTTGAAGAACTGCACAGTTTCTCTCATGACTTGGGGAACAAGTAGTAGAATTATTAACTTTGAACAATATTCCATTCGATAAACATTCAAGGCTCTTCAGGAAAATGTTAGAACAAGCGGCGCAGATACAGGTGGTGGGAAAATAAACTCGTTTCACTGATTACACATTGACGCGCTGAAGAAAATCATTTGCATATGTATCTGGTCTGTTGTTAATAATCGTTATAATTTAAAAAATCGGATAAATCATGCGCGCATCTGGAATCTCATTGTATAAACACAGCTTACAACAAATTAGTTCTTCATTTTTTACTATCTGCGTCAACGAGGAAACGTAGTATTCTCTTTAATTACTGATGTACAATGCAATTGCTATTATTTTTTTTATTCTCAGCCTTGAATTATCGTCGGAGTTCGCGTGACGACGTCATTTTAATCTACATTCATTGATCATGAGATGGTTGGTGGGGCTCACTGATCGATATGTTGGTTTTGGGAAATAAACAAGTCACTTGAAGGTCCTCAGAACATTATGCACCGAAATAGAATAGTCTCAGAAGGAGGCAGGGGCTGGCAGACCTTGGGAGGGATATTGTTTGGAAATTGCAGGGGTTTGACAGTATCAAAGGAATGATGTAATCTTGAAGTGAATAGTATTCGCACTGGGAGAAATTTCAATGGTAATTGCAACTACAAGGGGATTGTAAAAAAAAAATAGTTACGGTAACAATAAACATTGTAAATTCAACTATTACATTAAACTGAAAATTACATCATAATGTTGATGACACTATTTGACATAGTAAATCGAACGATGAATCCTAGTTTAATCTACAAAGTTTATTGTTACTGTAAATATAATTTCGTTGACAATTCCCTTGTAGTTAAAATTATCATTGAAATTTTTTTCAGTGCGGAGAGGAAAATTCACAATGAAAATTATTCTGGAGATATGGGTACACTATTAGAAATTTTTGAAATTTCATGGAAGACATTATAGTAAATTTCGTGGAAGTGACATTGAAGTGGATGTAGGGAAAAATGGGTATGCAATTTCAAGTTTTGAGTAGAATTCACGGAAATTCATGAGTTTTCAATGGAAGTGAGAGGGAAATTTCTCAACTTGATTAAATTTTCAGTGGAACATGTGTATTCAGAAATAAAATGACATGAATTTTCAATTTTTCCCTGAATTTTCCTGATTTTTCTGAATTTTCACAGAATAATTGCGCTGAAAATCAATGGAATATTTCATTTTTCAATGACAAAATTTCCTGAAGTTTCAGTCAAACTTAAACACGATAAAAATTTCCGGAAATTGGCACGGAAAATTCTGACGAAAATTTTCAAGTGTAAATGTTACCAAACAAAATGTAACTGAGACGGAATTGAATTGGCATGGAAATTTTTTTGTTGTCGTGAATTTTGAAGAACGTAGAATTTAATCCCCGATTAAATTTTACTAAATCAATTCTACTAAATTTAATTTCCTCTCCGAGCGTTGAAAAATTATCAATTTCAGAATACGTCGACCGAGAGAAAAAAAAATTGTCATCTTCAGAAACTTGTCACTGATTTTTATAAATCGAACTAGAATAATACTCTCGATCATCACTGACATGTCCCTGAAAATCAAAACTTTTTTTCTCAGTGAAACTTAAAAATTTATCGAATGGTATACGGCAAAGCCTAACTGAAAATTCTTTGATATCTATCTTTCTTTGCATAATTCCCCTGAGATTCTCCATAAATAATACTATTCTCGGAAGCGATATGGATACAATCGAATCTCCGGAATCAATCTCGTAATTAGCGAAATCTTACAGAGAATCATGGAAAATTTTAATCCGTCACGGAAGAAAAATAATCTCGAATCTAGAATATGGCATATATTTTAAAATTAAGGATATTCATTATCATCCGTATTCTTAATCCAATGATAACGGTTTTAATTCAATTTTGTTCTCCTCCGGTGTCTAATGAAGGAACTGATAGCAATTCGAAATAAGAATATCGTCACGAACGATATGGAAATTCGATGAGATAATTGCACAATAGAGCAGTATTTGAATCCACTCAAATCTCAGAAATGAATCCGGTAATGTGTTGCGACTGATGGAGAGTCGTGGAGAATTAGTATTCGTCACGGAAGAGAAATAATCTTCAATCAATCCTGAAGAGCTTTTTTAATTAACTGTATTTTATTCTTCAAACACGAAACCCCTTAACAATGTCCAAATCCTCATTTCAGAAATAAAAGTCTTGATTTGTTACTTTTTCCTCTTCTCGTGACCAATAAATGAAGACACGCGGCAAAAAAATTAACATGTTATGATGACCCACATGGCAATTCGCTTAGAAAATAGCAAAGTTGATAATCAAATAGTCGTCGGGTCCACTCAAATCTCAGAAATCGATCCGGTAATAGTTGATGACGACTGTTGGAGGATCATGGAAAATTATTATTCGTCACGCAAGAGAAACAATCTTCAATCAAGAATGATAATTTATTCTTGAAACGCGAATATTCATTCGGAAATGAACAACTCTTCTATTTTCAATTTAACAAGCAGAGTTTTAATTCCGCGTTTTTTCCCTCTCCTCGACCAATAGGAAATAGATACCGCAAGGAAATGGAAATGTCGTCACGATCGATATGTAAATTCGATGTGAAAATTGCACAGTGAACTAGGGAGCAATGAGCGGGGTAAACGGAATTTTTTATGCATACAAACGAGTAGAAAAAACGCATCGAAATGGAGGGGAAAGAAACTACCCAGCTCACTGATGATTAGTTAAATGCCTTTAAACTGTATAGTGGTGCGTTACTCTCCGTGACGGCGGGATAGGCTTGCGGCCACATCTAATTGACATTGTCACTGATGTTCAGGGCCGTTGACGAACCACCGTGAATCGACTTGGTTCGTTTTGTTCCTCGAGCACGTGGTGCTATCGCCCATTGTTCTCCGGACTGTTACGCTATTACTGTTTGTTATTCCTTTGGTAAATGCTCGTCCGTAAATTATCTTCATACACAGAGGAAAACAGTTTTCATTTTTACGATTTTATCACCAATTATTGATGATTCACTGAGGAGAATTTTTGGCTGACATTTCCGGTACACTTGTTGGTACTGCTTATCACATTATAATTCCACTGAAATTTCTTGGAATTTCGGCGTTGATAATTCAAATTTTTATGGAAAAATCAGTGGAAGCTGTAAATTTCAGTTCAATTTGAGGAAAATTACGGTAAATATACCCTTGAGTTTTCAATAAATGAAGAATTTAGTGGAATTTGGGACTGAATATTCATATTTTGATTGAAAATTCAATTTAGTTTGGGAATTCTCGTCTCGCTGGCGCTCAAAAATTTGGAATTTCATTGGATTTTCAGTGAGATATGAAATTCCACGATTTTCTTTCCCCCGAATCGAATTCAATGTTACTTCTGAAAATTGGTAGGCGGAAAAAATAGCCGATGGGTGTAACACGTGTTACGTAGTAGGCGACCAAATGATCGGTCATTTTCGGGGTAGGCTGAAAAAATGACCGAAAATGAACGGTCATTTTGTCGTTTACCACACACGACGCGGGTTACTACACATCGGCTATTTTTTCCTTCGGCTGTTTTTTCGTACATTCCCGATCATTAGCGATTTTTATTCATGAAATTTGTTGATCGATTCCCAAAAATTAGAAATGGGTCTTGAAAAAATAGTGAGATTACTCTGAAAATTAGCGATGATATTCCTAAAAATTAGCGATAATGTAATCAAAAATGGGTGACAAAATCGCGGAATGTCAGAGTTTTGCACTCACTAAATATCACAATCGGGCATCCCCAATAATTGGGGAATGAATTCCTGAAAAATGAGTGACATGTTTTTGTAAATTTACAACTTTATTTTCTCTGTGTCCGATGCAATGCAAATCATTCAGATGGGATTGAAATGGACTCACCTCAGAGAACGACTCCTGCCTCGATTGTTGGCATGAGCGTTGAGCATTTCCTTCTCCATTTTGAAACTCATCTTAGCGCCCTTGGAAGAACTGCATCCAATACAATAATAAATTGTTTCACCTATTCAATTAAATTTGTTAAAATATAAGAGTGATGCCTCACCCGTTAAAACCACCACCCAAACTGACTTTTTTCAGCTATTATCAACTGTTATGTACTAAAAATTGCCCATAAATTGCAGGGACTTGCCCCGAATTTCGGTAAAAATAAATAAATAATGTAGGAGTGATGGCCTTTTAAATACGTTATCTCTTGCGTTCTCTCCTATCTCATGTATATCACTCGTCTCATCAGCAGGCGAATCATAAAATATTCGAATTTTTTTGATCTATTTAAATTTAGAAGCAAATGTTTGCCGTTACTGATATGAAAAGCTATGAAATAATTCTCCAGTCTCGTACAATTTTCTCTCTATATTTCATTGACACTGAATAGTCCTCTTCCACCAAGCAATGAACACACTCGCATCTTCACCGAAGACTGATTCTACCTTCATTTTTGTGAATTCAAAGAGAAAATCTCGCGCTGGTAGCGAGCGAATTCTGCCACTGATACCGTACGACTGCGGTAATCCCCCCAAAAAACACGAGACAATTCTCATCAAATATTAGTTCTATAATTCCCAAAAATTGTGTGTAAAAGGCCTGCGTAATTCTCTTGTTTTTCGCCTTCTCCTCGACTCGCATTGCATAACTAGAGATCACTTACTAAACCCGAATGTGACAATTCAAGGGACTTACGCTGATTGATAGTCAGCTTCCGATGGCATTCATAAATTCCAAATTGGGCATTTCGATTTTAACTCGCTGTAACTGTGCAGAGTTCCTTCGCATGGGTTCTTCACTCGAGTCTTTCTCAAAAAAAAAATCCACCAACAATAACTCAAAACTCTTCCCGCGATGATGAACCGCGGTTCAGCCAATGGCACACCTGACTAAAAAATCACACAAGGATGAGATGGTAAACTTGTTCGTCCTATCTCCAACTCTTGATCGCATTTTACGAGTTTCAAAAAAACTCAACATATTTCACGCTCACAAATCACAGATAATTTCAGTAAGTGTCATGGTTAAAAGCGAATTAATGGCTTTGAATGAGCGATTTTTTGACAGCTTTGAAGATTTACGGGGAGATTCTATCGTTCAAGATACTGTCTGCTACGCGATGGCAGAGTTAGTTGGCACTGACAGATCTAACTATTTCATTCACAGTTGCCAGTGCTTCGGTGCGGCACATCGCTATCGTGTTATACGCTTGGTACACGCATGAATGGGGCACGTATAAACGCATGCGATTACACGGTGTTAAGATAAAGAGCATGACAGAAAGACAAGGATCAACAAGATGGGGGGGTGTAGGTGGGCTAGGGGGGGGGGGGGGAATATCAAAGAGCTGTATTTACTCCTGAAATAAAGAACTACGATGTGAGAATCGAATTGCGCTACTCCTGCGGTTTATGAGATCTCGATTCCGTGCAAATCGTCTTCAATCACTGAGAGAACCAGATATCAACCAAGCAACTCTGATTCGAATATTTCTGACTAAAAATTGATAATAAACCATTCGCGAAAAAAAACTAATTAATCAATTAATCAGCGTTATCTTATCGAAAATTTCCGATAATAATGTGGAAACTTTTCCCAATCTCTTCCCTTTGAACGCTTCATTATGTTATTCTTGGTATTAATTTTGACGGAGCATCAATCTTGATTGGTCTATTTTTTGTCATAAATAATAACGTAATATCGAAGGAGTGGTACATGCCCAATGGACGCACGAATACTCGATTGTGTACATGTATTGCGCGTGGGGGGGCTCTAGGTGTTAAAATAGCCCTTTGCCACTAACTCGATGCCAGCCTATTAAACAGTTGAAGAGACTATTGTGTATAATAATGGTGACAGGGAAGATGTTACTATCAACGGTGCGCATTTATCGTAACGAGATCGTGATTTCATGCAATGAGGTGTTCCGCGTCAAGATGCCATCATCAGTTTTATTCAAAACGGAAGACGTGCTCTTTATGATGTCGAGTAAACAATCCTCATTGATATTTTGGTTTGTTTTTTTATTATCATCATGAGTTATGCAAAGATAACAGATATGGCATTTTGCATCCAATTGTAATTGGGAATTTATTCAATTGAATAATTATTTACATACAAAAGATTGCACATATTTATCGAAAATATCTCTGCTTCGCCGATTCCGTTGGCAATGCAATTTTTATCATTACAAACCATCGAGTACTGGCCTAGTGTGGATAAGGTTGATGCATTCAAAAATTTTCATTGATGTGAGTCACCGATTCTTATCTCGAGTAACAATAATTTTCATGTATTATAAAGTCCAATAATAAATCTAGAAATCACAGCAATTTGTTACATTAGAGCAATAGTACTAATCCTGCAATAAAATCATCTACTAAATCGTGTAGTCATTGATTATAAAACGAAATCAATTTCGTCTTTCAACAATTTCGTCTAGCACCGTATTGATATATATGGAGTGGGTGGAGCACAATGGACACTTGTCACTTTTTTCGAATGTCATTGGTAAAGTTCTTCATGAGTTATGAACATAAACTATGAATAAAACGTCGAATGTACCCATTTTTCCCCACTCTCCAATGCACTGAGAAAAAAACTTTTTTTGACAAATAATTTTTTTTGTAGAGAACAAATTATTTATTATCAGAAGCGTGTTTTCACAGGCCAATCATTTCTGGGTGATCCATGTTTAGCTTCAAGTATTACAATTATATTAAACTATTAGATGATTATGGTTATATTATTATCATTTACACTTATTTCAAATTATTTTACTTGAGAAAATTTAAATTTCGAAAAAGGGGAAAATAATTCAGTGTTCATTAATTGTAGTACTTGCAGCCTAATTTTCTGCAGAAGTAATTTCTTCTCTCAAGAAATTTTTTTGGCAAAAACAATTTTTTCCTCAGTGTAACGTCTCTATAACTCATAACTCATTGAATCAATAATTATGAACACTTCACGTATTCAAATACTGCCAACATCATTCTAAGTACATGAACGCCTCATGCCAAAACGGCATAGAAAAATCTTATTTTACATGTTAATTACAAGTTTTCAATACGAAATAACTGATGTAAAAAACAACGAAAGATAACAGAGTTTTTCCACGCAAATTGTGAACTTTCGAGGTTCTTTGTAAAATCTATACATAAGTATCAGGTACAAAGTGATATTTGACCCTGAATTACTTTAGAGTTTATATCGATTACCGAAGTAAATGGAAACCCTTCCCAAAAAGAAGGAGCAGGAGAAGTAACTGGCACCCTTGATAATCAAATTGATGATACTTTAGTCACCAACGTCTGAATCACCATCGCCGATGGCATCGAGAATGTGGAAGGCTATTCCGAGGAGAGCAGTGCCGAGGAGATCACCAGCAGCAGTCAGGTACGGAATTGCTAAACTGTCAGGATCCATTCCTCGTCTCCACATCCAAACAACCATCAATTGGCCTATGTACAGGAGGAGAACAACCTGAACCAAGTAAAAATATTACTTAAAGGATCAATCAAATCTTCTAAAACGAAAAAAAAAATATCAGAGCTTCCAAATTACAATCATGTGAATGCGTACCTGTAGCATAGCAGCAAAAAGATAAACGATGATGAAAATTGCAGTGAAGGAGGTGTGGCCAGCCTGAAGATAACTAATGGTATAACTAAATATCAAGTGCCCTGGAATGACCATCATTAAGAGCACTCTGGCAGTTCTGGCGTGACCACCTGTTCAAAAACATTAAGAACAAATCATTAATTCGAAGGATAAACTCTCCGACGAAAAATTATGAATCGAATATAATTTTGAAATGAAATCTGTAAGTGATGGTTAGACCAAAGCTATTATATATATGTCAATATTTTAGAACCATTTGTTGCTATTACTTGTGTTTTTCTGGTTCATAATTTTCAGTTTTATCTTCAAAATTTTTTAAGCAATAAAGAAATCCCTGATGAGATCTTTCCTAGACGACGAAAAGTTGTGTTCATCGAAAGCAAATTTTCTTTTTTTCAATTTAATCATCCAATTTTCAAAATCTTCTCAAGACGAAAAACTAAATATCAAATGGTTTAAATATCAAGTGCCTTGGAATAATCATCATTAAAAGCACTCTTTAATTACCCAATTTTCAAAAATTACGACCAACGAGAAACAAACATACCTGGAGCAAGAAAAACAGAAACCGGGCTGACACAGACCCTGGGTAATTTATGAGTCCCACTACTCTGCTCCTTATGAAGGGCAGTAGATATCCTACTGGCTTGCACAGCAACCAAATTCCCACCGACTCCATTAATCACGAGTTGGAAAACTGCAATGCCCTTGTAACTCGAAATTGTGTAATCGAGGATCAGTCCACCAATACTAGAATGATGAATCTCCGTTAGTGGTCGTAATTACTGTTTATCGAGAGAACTGGAATGCCGATACCAACCTGCTTATCAGCATGGCAGAGATGACTGGAGTCCAGCCATAATCAAGTACTTCTCTCGTGAAAGGATTTCTTGCTGCGATGTACCCCCAGACTGGAGTTGCCAGTAGACAAAAAGCAATTAATGTGGGTGCTATCCACGACTGTTGACCTGTAAAGTGAAAACAATGACAACAATTGCAATTAAGGCAATGAAACAAGGGACAAATGACTGATTTACCAATAGCCTTGAACAGAAGCGATGCAATCCAAGAAAGTAATGCCAATGTCGTTAAATCCCCCAGTGAGGCGGCAATTGGTGTTGCAACATTGTCAGGATTGATGTTCATACTCCTGGAGAGAAGTATAACAGCAACCATAACAAGACCAAGCAGGAAACTAGCAACTGAGGCTGTGACAAGTGCACTTGCACAAAGTAACAAACCATGATGAATATCAAATTGTGCCTCTGGTATCCAACCGAGTGTGACTGCTGCCAAGGACGCCAACAGTCCAACCACCATGGCTTGACACTGTATCAGGGCTAGATTACCAATTATTAACGTCCACTGTTCACTGCTCGTGTCCATGTGACCTAAATTTGCGTGGGTTGACAGACGCGATGCCAGAGTCATTTCTAAATTCCCCTTCAATCCTAACAGTGCAGGCACCAGTATGTACACCTCTTTTATTTTGAGGTAGACTGGCCAGTGCTGCGGGGAAAAATTCCAGGATGACTTCAATTCAACACGAAAATCCTAGCTTTAACCCTAGTCTGGTCTCCAAACGCGACCCTGCGATTGGTCATCTCCGCGGGGATTCCCCGCCGGGTTATTTAGGCTTTAGCGTTGCCGAATTCACTCTACACTGACCGGGAGCGTTTGGCGAGTTTCCGGCAACGTCGCGTCATCGACAATTTCAACAATTTTATTAAACAGAGGATAAAGAATTCATCTGTTCGAAATCATTTGTTTTCATTTGATCATTGATTTGATTTTTCCGTTAATAGTGGGAGTCGATTGCAAATATATAAAATTAGAAAGTCACTTTTTGAACTGTGACTGACTCGCTCGGGGAAGGGTTAAATAGAAGAGAAAACGTATGAGTGTATTTAATTTCATTTTTTTCCTCGCACATAAATATTTGTTATGAACATTCTTCCACATTAATCTCTGTTATTCCTCGATTGTCGAACTAACAAAGATATGACGTTCATTATGAATAATTGGTGCTAATTACTATTTTTTATCAATTCCCTCGGGGAATAAATTCGGTGAAATATTGGTGATTTCATGGATTTATCGGAGCGACAAGAAATCAAAAACGTTTTGTATCGATTGGGATCGATGAAATAGGAAGCTACTGAAAGTTTTGAATTTTTTCCTTACATTCATCAATAGTTATGCACTGAGAATGTTTTGACAGCGGTCCCACAACCCGACAGTTCGGTGTAAAGGTTAATGACGACGGAAGATTGGTAATACCTGCACTACGTCCAGTAGGAGGCTGGCAGCGACCATTCCAAATCCCGCCAAGAGAAAAGGTATGAACATCTGCACTGAAATTGTCCAGACATTCTCCTCGTCTGTTATCTCTGGGTGTTTGACACTCTTCCCACTCTTTTTGCTCCCCTCGGGGAAGTGTCTGGGGACATTTGATGAGAGCAATCTACTTGTGTCACTGTCATCACCTTCGTTATCACTGTCCACAGTCAGCTCGGTGGATACATCAGCAAGTGCCTTGCTGAGGGATTCTCCACTACCAAAACCCACCATTTTAGATATGGAACTAATACTTTTTGATCCTGGCTTCTTTCTTTTGTGCACCTCACGATTCTCCGGTGAGTCAATCGTGGCAATCCCAGCATGGCTCATGCTTGTTCAAGAGATGTTTTCGAATAACTGTGAAGCACTGGGTAGAAGAATCATTTGTTCAATCAATTGACTCTTGTTTCTCGTTTATTTCTCGTTTTTTACGTTAAGGGAAGGCAGGGTAAAATTGAGCTTCTCAGATCATCAATAACTACTGACCAAATGATGCAATTGGAATGAATCAAGTGTCATTTTGAAGCTTGGAAAAATACCTTCGAAGTGAAGAAACAATCGGCTGGTATTGATGATCAAAAAATGCTCATTTTACGGTCTTTTCAATCATTATTTTTGTTGAGTCCAGAGGGAACAAGCACGGAAAAATTATGTAGAGGAGTTCTGTAGGGCGTTCATATACGGTGATTTTGTATGTAATTCGATAGATTCGCTATATGATAGTCTCAGGATTTTTACATGTATTTCGTTCATAGAAATTCTTATAAGATTCGTATAAGCATTGAGACTTGGAGAATATTAATTTCATAAGCTCCAATTTAATTTGTTTATTTTTATCTTCATTCTTACAGAGTTCTGGAAATTTTGAAAGTCTCAATTTTTATCGGCATTTCAGAGCATTTCTATCGACAAAATACGTAAGGAAAAACTATTCGAATATGATATACGTCAAATCTATAATATACAGGTCCACCGAGAGAAAAATAATATTTTCTCAAACAAGTCTTTTTTGAAGTAAAAAAATAAAATATAGTGCTGTCCGCGTGAAAACTGTCCTGAGATGGAAATTATTGTCGAAAAAATAGATTTAGTTCTACTCCAAAGTTGTTCTTCTTTATGCGAGCGAGAAGTGTCATTTCTGGCACTAATTCTTCGTTATTGCATACTCCCATATATATTTTTCTCCAGAAAAATGGTCACTTTACGTGCAAAGAAGGAACAATAGTTTTTCGTTTTGTCTATTCAATAAAACAGACGAGAGATGAATTCTTGAATAAATAATAATGTTGAAATAATAGCAATATTGTAACTTAAGGATAAAATAGTTCTCGATAAACGTCCCTTTATAAGAGATATTTCCATGCTGAAAGGGCACCGTTTCGTGTGAATAATCCGCCTCTAGAGCGATTATTCAAATTTGAAAATTTCGAATTCAAATCAAACAACTTCTTTCTAGGTAGGGGAGAGTGGAGTGATATGAACACTTTCGACATTTTTTTCAAAATTAATAATTCATTGAACGATTGATGCAACGGAGTATTTTTTCCTCGTAAAGTACAATTCTTCCTCCTCGTGATGAGTCCAGAATGAGCTCAACTGATTAATTTATTTCTGAGGTATAAATATTTTGATAAAAGTAAAAACTGTCCATGTTGCCCCATCCTCTCCTAATTTTTGACTTGCGATTCTTTTGCTCCAAACAAGACTCGTTTGAGATGTCGTCCCCTTTCTCTCAGTACGATTGTTCCTCCGCGAGGACTTGAGCAGCTTTAGACTAAGAAGAGACTGGCAATAAATCAACCGCTGAGATCAAGCAAAAATAAATGAACTGACCTGACCCGGCTCCCTTTATAGACGCACATAGTCAGTGCACAAGTTTTGTTTTTCAACACTCATTTCGGGAATACAATAAAACACTAGGTCTGTCTAGACAGTGCGTCATGCTACATAGAAGCCATAAAATCCTGGTACGACTCACCATTTGGCTATTAGGATTCCACATTATCATATTCAAGTGGCAACAGCAGAGGAAGAAAATAAAAATTGTTAGATTCAACACGAATGTTAAATTATGTTAGGGTTTCTAAGAGAATTGGACAGCAACTACGAATCCTTCACCATACGGAGGCTTCAACTGATAAAACAACAGTATTGTAGCTATTTGTGGAAGAACAACTGTTTAAATAATAGGATTAAATAATGTTCGATATTAACCTCAAAAGTGCCTTCACTCACCCCTGCTCCATCAATATATTTTGTTTCGTGCTCAATCATTCACACGATTCGTTGGAATTCGAGTGATTTCGTGATGAACAAATGTCTCGCGATAAGCGAATCATCGGAATAATACAGTGTATGGTTTATTCTAATCAAGGAAAACCCGGTTTGCAACTGCTAGACACATCACCCGAAATTTGTAAACGCGGCGTTGCTAGATAGCTTTATCCTGTCTAAATGACGGATTCGATTGCTTTTATCAAATGCAAGAATTCACTTTATCATTACCGAAATTACTTTCGGAGGAACTGCCTTATTTTGTGGAATGTCGAACGAAAATTTCAAAGAAAAGAATAATGCGGCAACAGCGCCCAGACGTTTACTGTCACGTCGGTATATATTCCGGGGACGTGCGCATGCGTGGAGACGATGGCATTTAAATGCGCGTACATTGGTATCAAAGTTACAATATGAACGACAAAGCCCCAACTGCTATCTGCATTTGAAATAATAATTGTTTTAGGAATGAAAACAGTTCGCATCTCCGCACTGAGAAAAATTTTAATAGTAATCTTAACTACAAGGGAATTGTCGAAGAAATTATATTTACAGTAACAATAAACTTTGTAAATTAAACTAGGATTCATCGTTCGATTTACTATGTCAAATAGTGTCAGCAACATTATGATGTAATTTTCAGTTTAATGTAATAGTTGAATCTACAATGTTTATTGTTACCGTAACTATTATTTTTTTGACAATTCCCTTGTAGTTGAAATTACCATTGAAATTTCTCTCAGTGTGAGGAGTCTATTCTATCTTTTTTATCGAACATCGTTTATGTTGCAACATCCACTTGATTTTCAGGGATGCGTGCCTCTGCATTAAATTAATCAATCGGCGTAGATAGTGCTGAGGTAATACATCACACGAAGCGGGTGGAGGGACGGGTGAATTATGCACCAGAAATTATCATCTTGAGTTGGAAATATGGGCTTCCTTGGGGTTCGTTGAATATGTATCTTGATTGTTCTGTGAATATTTACAATCAACGACTATTCATTAAATCACGCGCACTACAATGTAATTGCGGATTACCATTGCTGTTGCCTGCAGCATTTTTTGAGTTGTCCATTGGTTGTGACTCAAATTTCACAATGCGTAAGAATATAGCAATTTTATATTTTTTGGGTGATTATTATTCGAGGGGCTACTTCCGAAATCATGGCGCCACGTTTTGATGAAATGTGAAATCATTGAAATCATCGAAATCACTGAAATGACGGGATTTCCACTCATGAAATCATTTCCGAAAAGATGCTGATGTCTTGAAATCATGCCGAAGTCATTTAAAATTAATGAATGTTTTAAGAGAACGCGACGAACTTTATTTATCGTGATTTCAATTATTTCATTGCCCCTGGAATCACTGATTTCAAATCTATGAAATCGTTCCATCGATTCGGAAATCATCGACTTCCTTTCTTCCCGAAATTACTGAAATTCATCCTGAAATCACTGAAATCTACCCTGCAATTACGTGAAGTCGACTTCATTTTGAAATCATGGTGTCACTTAATCAGGGAGTGAGTAGCCCCTCGATATTCTATAATTTTTTTAATCGACATCGTCTACATTTTAACTTTTTCAACTTTTAAGTTTCAACTTATTTTATTTCCTTGATGCGTGTTTCTGAATTGAATTAATTAATTGTCATGAAGAATGTCAAGCCCATATGCCGTACAAAACGATAAGAAAAACAAGGAAATAATGAACCAAAAATAACCATTTTTTAAATTTCATGATTTTTCTTTGAGAATTTATCTTACGGACATCCAAGTATCTTTTACTATTTAGTACAGACCACACTATCAATTCAACCATTTTTACTCATCAAATTTGTCAATAAAATCCCGTAAGAAAAACTGGGAAAAAATCATGAATATTCAAATTGTCCTTTAAATTGCATTTTGCACCGAATTATTATTTTCTGTAAACATTTATTGTTCACAAATAAGCAATGAATATTCATGACAACAATAGTTATTGTCTGTAGCATATTTCCAGTCGTCGATTTGTTCTGACTTTCACGAATTTCACAAGGCGTGAAAAAATCGACCCCTAAAATAACGCAGTGACATTTCTAAATTTCATGACGGATATTTCGTGACGTATCTATCAATCATCTTCATGGATGAATACTATTGCATAATCGTTCAAGTACTCGCGGGGGTAACATGAGATTGAAGCTGGCCGGGTGAAGCTGCGGGATTGGCAGCCAAGGGTCCAAGTACTCCTGAAATAAATTCTCAGCGCGAATGGTGCTCACTCTCGTTCTGCGCATGAGCAATCAATTTTTTCAGAGACACTATTTTGAAAACGCATTTTTGAAATTTACATTGTGCGCGGGACCTCAAAGGGAATCAACGCACATAGACGAGTGATTCCAAGTGTTGAAGGTTGGTTCCTAAACGGTGAAAAAAATCAACGGAAAGTAATTCTCAAATTCCGCTAACGGAGGAGCAAAATTTTGTTTCAAAGATTTTCATTTGAATTCAATAAAAAAATATGTAGAAATGATAAATTTCTGCCTTGCAGTATAATTTTCTCAGACGAGCAGTAGAATTTGTGTTTTTCATGAAACAATAACAAAATAAATAAATTTCACAGTAATGCCATTAAAATTTCCCATTTTCCTTCATTTTTGTTGATTTCTTTTCTTCGTTCATGACAATGAAAGCGATTATCCATCAAATTAATTAACACTGCGCGATTACGAATAATTGTAGGGATATCCTGGAAGATGGGACGTAAGAGAAAGCCAGTGAGTAAAGCAAACAGTGCGGTGAATCCCTCAAATAATTCCGAAGTATCGCCAAATGGAAATAACTCGAATGAGATTGATCCATCAACGACTTCGCAAACATCAATACTCGATATTTCTTCACGCTTGACACTTCCATTGAAACCCCCCGGTGTTGACTTGTCAGTCGACAGTGACGATGAAGAAATATTGGAATTCCAAATAAGACCTCGTTTTTTTTTCGTATCAAGTTTGTGCTTAGTCTGCATGAATCAGTGTACAATACATTGTGACGATTGTGGAATGGTGTCTTATTGTTCCGAGAAGCATAGGGAGGAGAACAGACCGCGGCATGCGGCATTATGTAAAGTTCTACTGGAAATTTGTCGGGGGATGGAGGGATTCTCCCTGGCGAAGACACTGCCGCCTGACTTGTACAGGTCTTTCCGGATAAAAACAATTAGTTTAGTCGAGCACAAAATGAAGAGAAGATTGGACCTGTGGGAGAGGGAGATCATGTTGTATCCGAGAATATGCGGATCCTGCGGAAAAGTGGACGAGTTGATCTGCTGTCCCGCCTGCGGGGTGGACTTTTACTGCGGACGGCACGAGCAGAACCACATCAAGTGGTGCAAAGAGTTTCAGGTCTTTCGGAGAATCCTCTGGATGCAGCATAAACACGGATTCGTCGAGCCCGATATTCCCGTTGTTTATTACAGGGAGGCGCACGTGCTGCCCGAAAATTTCGACTTTCTCATCTACGACATGTATAAAAATAGCCCGAGTTATAGGAGAATTGATAGCTACACCTATGCCAGTTTGTCGCACGTCGCCACTGCCCCGCTGACTGCATTGTTTGCCATGCAGAAAGCTATTCATGACTGGACTAGACGAACTAAATTTCGGATTCATGTAATTGGCGCCGAATTTCAGTTTGAATGCTCCTTACTGCGAGTGTGGGAGAAGCTTTTTCTTCATTTCCTACCGAATTTGAAGACTCTGACTATTGAATTCACCGGGCCGGAGTTGTATCTCCCACCGGCGCCATCGGAACTCCTGGGGAAAATCAAAATGTGCAGATCTTGTAAGTCCGCCGGCAAGAGGATCGAGATATCCTTCAACCCTCAGAGACTGTATCACGACGTGGAGAATGGATCGCAAGCTGATTTGATATGTCTGTTCAATCCTGGACTCTATCGAGAAACTGGTTTCGATAATGTTGATACGTGGCCGGGTACGATAATGAAATTTTGTGCCGCAAAGGTTCCCGTTGTCATCACGTCGTACACTGAGTTCGAGATACCGAGAGATGTCGAGCGGATAAAGTCTATTAGAGACATCCAAGTGCTGCTGGAGCCCCAACGGAATCCTTTCGGGACAGTCAAACCCGATAGGAATTTCGTTAGTGACGATGTCGTGCCACTCATGTACAAGAATTACTGCGTCTGTATAGTGAAAGGAGTGTGATTCAGTGTAGACTATTATTCTATTTAACTTCCCGATAGGGGAGTTATTTTACTCTTAAGGGGATACGTCGGTGAAATTTAAGTCTTCCCTGGGCCTTGGGAGTCATTGAACAGTTTGTGATATATGACGGAATATGGGAATAACTGGGGAATATCACGGACCCGATCGATGTTGCCCCGTATAACAACGAAAAACTTCATTTTTTCCCGTTTTTGCCTTCAAAATGCTCCTCGCGCGGTAGCTTTCGAACGATTTTAGTTTTCTTCAATGTTCGTGATATTCCAAAGAATAAAGTTAAGCGTCCGTTTAACTTTATAAATGAATCTCGAATTTCGTAAATTTTAGCCTACTCTAGAGACGCGAAATATTTACGAAATTCAAAATTCACTGATTCATTATCTATTTCGAATGAACTTTATTCTTTGGAATGTAACGAACATTTTAAAAAAAAGGTAAAATCGTATGAAAACTACGGCGCAAGGAGCATTTCGAAGGTAAAAACAGGAAAAAATGAAGTTGTTCGTGGTTACACGGGGCAAAATCGATTGCGTCCGCGATTTTTCCAAGTTATTCCCGTATTCCGTCATATATTACAAACTGTTCAATGGGTCTCAAAGCCCAGTGAAGACTTTTAAGTTTCACCGACGTATCCCCTTGATTGAGCAAAAATGTGACCAATTTCATTCTCAGAAATTATGATGGTGATGGTTCCGTAGTTTGTTACAGAGAGTCGCATGTGTAAAATATGTATAAAAATAGCGCAAGGTATAGGAGAATGGATAGCTACACTTATGCAAGTTTGTCGCATGTCGCTACTGCACCACCGACTGCATTGTTTGCTTTATATTTTAATATTGTTACGTGCACTGAGAGAAAAAATTATTCCTACCAAGGATTGATATTCTCGTCAGAAGATAATATTTTTTCAGAACGAATTGTTCCAGGACAGTCATTTTCAGAGAGTCCAAGTCTATCCTCAAAATAATAAACCGTAATAATAAACCGCCCCAATTATTTATTAACCTGTGTGTCCCTTTATTCTCCGTTGGACCTAACAATATATTGAGAGGAGTATGATTCAGTAGAGACGATTATTCTGTTTTCGTTCTTTTAATTGAGCAAAAATGTGACCAATTTCATCCTTAGGCACTAAAATTTTCGCTACTGTATGAGTATAAATACATTGGCTGGGATAAAAACATATTTATATAAAATATTTGATATGTATTCTCATAGAAAATGGTCCTGCATTTTCGTGTAGACTCGTGTCTACTCAAAATATCGACACACACTCATTAAATAAAATCCGTCGGCTGACCATTCATTCGTTCTGCGTCAACATTTTTTCCCCTTGCATCATAACGAATGAGCAAATTACAATAATACTAGGACAATGTTTAACATGGTTATCTCCAGTTCATTCATCAAGCACACTCAAAATAAATCTCATTGGCTGGGTAATACTCTCGATATAAAAAGGCGCTTTATCCTGGAAGCTTTCGTTTTCGTGCTCTTGGGAATGTCGGTTACTTTTATGATCTAATTAAGTTCGCTATAAAAGTAGAAACTAAGGAGAGAACATGATCGATGTGCAGTAATAGTGGGTGGAATAATTTAAAGTTCCACTATGTGGAAAGAATTTCAAATTGACTATCAAAACTCAAATGATTTTGAATTTTTCTGACTCTCAAGCCTCTCAAGTCAGACGCAACACAGCGAGGAATATAGTGAGGATGACGGTGGAAACGGGAGCGGAGAATATACTTCGCGAGGAGTTTGCGACTTCATAGAAGAAGCGGTTGTAAGCACGATCACAGTGGGAAGGCCAGTCCTTCAGGCAACTGGCGTAGGCTACAGCATGGGCGATGTAGTTTTGTTCGAAGGTACCTCTGAAGAGATGCGAATAGGGTCCTGAGGGAAAAAATCATCGGTTTTCATTCTTTCCCTTAGAAATGGAATTAATATGAATAAGTGAAGAACATTTTTCATGCACTTTTGGGCTCCAATGATGAAGTTTATAACTTTGAGAATTTTATAATTGTTTTAGAGAATTGTCTAATTGGTTTAGAGAATTTTATAATTTTAGGAGAAAATCAGTGCAATATGTGATTTTTTAATGATGGAATTTTCTGAAATGTCAGTAGTAATGTGAACTGTCAAAAATTTCTGGACTTTAACACAGAAATTTCAAACGAACATTTCCAACTGCGTATCTCTGTTTTTTTCTCTCATTGTTTAAGAATCTCAATTTTTCGTCGATTTTTTTATGTGGATACGCCTATGGTGTCATTAAGGGGGTCATTTTGGGAAAAGGTCTTCATTCTGCAGCGTCATCTATCGGCATTCTATAAAATTCTCTGGTTTTCTAGAAAAATCGAGAAAATCCTTCAGTGTTCTAGAAAATACCCGAAAATTTTTGGGATTTTTCCAATGTAATCTTGAATCTTCTTGAAAATCGAATAAAGATGAGTGTCTTGCATACTGCAGCAATCAACGTATAATTTTCTCGAAAATTCTAGAAATTTGGTGATTTTTGGAAAGATACAAGGAAAAATTTTCTATATTGGAGAAAATTTGGCGCTGTCTCAAAAAATTTGAGGAAGACAATTTGATACAATTGTTGTCTAAAAGCAAAGAATACAGACGTACCCACATAACATTATTGTTGCATGAAAGATACAGCCACCAACAAATTTTAAAAAAAAGTTTTTAGAATGAAATAAGGGTTCTTGATGAAACTAATGACAATGAATATAATTTTCACGTGAGTATCATACCAATAGCGTAAACTCCGACGTCTTCACCGCCATGTGTGTCATCCTTCAGGTACATTGGAGAGAAGAATCTATAGAACGGCTTTTCCCTATTGGAATCATCCTCAACAGGTCTCCAAATACCAGTGGAATTGGTACTATTCAGTCTATGATACATGAAACCTGGGCCATTGGCGTAGGTCAGGGTTTCATAAGGCCTAATTGTTGGATCGAGTTTGTTGTTGGCTAAGCCGAAAATATCATTGCCCCGCTCTGGGTAGCCATTCATCGTGAAACTGTGGGAGTGATCAGCCGTGACGATGATCAACGTTTCTTCGATATTCACCTGACTGAGGGAGATCTTAACCGCCTCCTCTAGCTCCGTCACTTCACGGAGTGCCAACCTTGCATAATTTTGATGATGCGCTATGTCGATTTTTCCACTCTCAACCTGGGGAGATTAATTTCATTGTGAGAAAACCGGTAACGAGACTGTTTGTCGCAGATAATTGTTCAGATTGACAGATAGGATACGCTTAAATTTACAGTTTCGCACAGGAGAATACGTTTGAAAGTGACATGTGGCCTTGCTTAATATCCGGGAAGTATCGCAGATATCCGTAAGTTATGAATTCACCGATTTCGCTGTCAGCGAGTAATTAGTGAGGAGGAAATACGGGGAATGATATTGATAAACTCAGGAGGCATGCGAGATTTTTCTCACATTTTTAGATAAGCGGGCATCGTTCTTCCTATTTAAGAAAAAATTTTTTTTTGACGAATACATATCAGTAATGAAGTGGTAAAACGGTTTAAGTTGACTCATTTCTCAGTTAAATTTTTGTGGAATATTTCCGAATCTAAGGAAGATAGCGTAATTTTTGTAATTACATTTTTTGTTATAACAACAATTTTGCTATTTCCTTTAGATTCCGAGATATTTATTGAAAATTTGCCAATAGTCAAAATTGACTTGAACCGATTTATTTACCACTTCGCTACTGATATTTACTTGTAGGAAAAAATATTGTGTCGTATTAAATTCTTCTTTAATATAATATTCATGTAATATTATATTAATATTATATGGCCCCCGAGTACAAAATTTCTTAACGAAAGAAAACATTTGGTCAGATTATTTACCATGAGGAAGAATCCGTTCTTGCTTTTCCGCAGCATTCGAATCGCCTGGAGTGTCATGTTCGCTAGGGTCGGCGTGTTTTCGGTTCTAACTTCATGGTAGGGCATGTGGCTCGATGCGAAAATCCCCAGGAGTTTCGACGCTTTGGCGATGTCCACCGACATAAGATCAGAGGCGTTCGTTACGAATTTCCCTTGGGGATTGAAGTCTTTCCAAATTGCTGTTAAATCTTTTCCATCGTCTCGTACGCAAGTTTCGGAGTCGAGGGGATCGTTCACGGGGTGACCCATATTTTGACCACCGCCTCCCATAATTACCTGTATGAACAGCAATTATTGAGATCTATTTCTTGCTTTTTAAAATTCAGTACTCCAGAGTCACATTTTATCTTCATGTGTCAAATTTCATCGTTTAGCATTCAATTTTCAGTGAATTTCAGGATAAAAATGAGGAAAAACACTTGTGATACTTTAGAGAACGCAGGATTTTTTGTTCTAAATTTTTTTCTTTGTGGTCACTATGAAAAATAATTAATTGTTGCAAACATTCGCTAATTTCTTTGGTTCAAATCACGACGCAGATTGCGGTCACTATGATAGCAGACCCATAAAACGAAGATTGTAAACTCTTCCACTGTAAAAGCTGCCCCATGTCCCAATTTGCTTAATATTTGTCAACAACAAGATCCAGAAGCTGTGCACATCCAGTCTTTTCAATGGCGAGATTGAGCTCAATGAGAAGGCCGGATATGTGGTACGATAAAAGAGTAGTCGTTTAATTGACAGTTAGCCTTGAACTTTCTTCTCCCAGGTCGTTAACATATATTCTCAAATTCACACTACGTCTGTCACGTGATCACTCACGTTAATTGTCTTCCGAACAGTAGGATCTTGACATCGTTCGTGATATTGTTACTGATTGTCGTAACTCTGGATTTAGAGGCTATTTTTCTTTTTTTGACTCTTATTCTCAATCATGATGTATTGTTGAAAATTTGTGGTAGAAATTTCAGGTACACTTGTCGAAAATTTTTAATGAGTTATAGTTTCATTGAAATTTTAAGAAATTTCATAATTGAAACTTCAAAATTTTATGTAAAAATCAATGGAAACTATAAATTTTGTACTCCCTCAGTAAATCGGTTCAGTAAATTATTCCATAGAAAATCCGGAAAATTCAAGTAAATATACTCTTGAATGTTCAATTAATTGAAAACAGTGTAATTTGGTGTTGAATAATCATGTTTTGATTGAAACTTCAAGTGAGTTGGGAAATCTCGGCTTCTTGTTGCTAAAAAATGTGGAATTCCATTGAATTTCCAATGAAACCTGAAATTTCATTATGTTCTCCTGAAAATTACTAGTTTCCCGCACCCGCAATTCAAATTTTTGAATTGCCTGACACTGCATTACGATAAATGCCAACAAACCTTAAATTTGTTCCCCGGGGTATCTTCAACCAACTGGCGCGCAATATCCTTCGCGCAATTTTTGTATTCCCTCGGAATATTGCTGTTACACTCCCAGTCTCGATTATTTACATGAGCGTAAAGTGCTGCTGGGGTTGCGTGGGTTATCCTCGTCGTTGTCACAAAACCTAAAACCCATTGTCTCTATTAATATCTCACAAATTATCTTATAAGAAGACTGATAAAAAATGAAAGGAATTCCGACATTGAGAAGAAAAATTCAGTCATGGTACACAGGCTTGAATGGTAACCCCGACATGGGCGAAGGTCACATTATGGCCTTTGAAATTCATTGAACATATTTTTATTACAGATAATTCTAACAAGGTCCACTCAACCACTGATTGTCTATTGAATACCCAGTTTGTGGACTATGAATAACTCATGTTCCACTATCGTATGCTGTATCGTTTTGTCTAGATAACGTCTGGGCATTCAGAATCGGGGATACGTTTCCTCACAGCCCAACAAGAATGTTATCAATCTGAGTGAATAAATATAAATAGTTGAATGGTTCGTCATAATTTGTTTATCAGTCCAATGTGATTCCAGTAATAGCTGCATTTAGATTGTCAATGTTATGCACTACTAATCTTTTTTGTCTGAAATTTCCGGTACATTTTTTTGAAATTTTTATTTCATTATAGTTCCATTGAAATTTGACGGATTTTCGATTTTGAAAATTCATAATTTTCGGAGAAATCAATGGAACGTAGAAATTTCAGTTCAGATATTCCGTAGAAATTAGGAAAATTCAGCGTAATTTAGTACCAAAGATTTATGTTTCGGAATTTGATTGAAATCAGAAACTTAATGATTTTTTCTCCTCTGACATTTCAATTTTTAGGGTAAAATCGTCCATGAAATTTCTTATTTATCGTGAAATTACAAAAAAGGGTTTTTCATGTTAGACGTTCATTGAAATTTTAACTTCTGCTCTAATTCTCAAACTCATTGTGAAAATTAAATATCCCATTCAATTGCTTCTCAATACATCTCCAATAATTTTGTTATCAATAAAGACCTGATAATTCCGATTGGATTAAATAATCCAGAAATTAACATACATTAATTCTCGTTAGAAATAGTAAGATTTTTTACCCAAAATTTCAGGAGTAATTCTTCAAACCCGATATTTCGAACAATTGGCTAGGGCGTGGGGGAATTATTCCTCGTTTAACCGGGATGCAGCGCGGAAATAAGTCGCGGTCGGAGGTGCCACGCCGACAGAGAAAAAAAATTTGATCTGCAGGGACACATGTCATTGATCTGAATCCCGGAAAAAATAGGCCACGGAAAAAGTAGATGAAGGGAAATTTTCTAATTTTCTAATTTCTAATTATCCGGAATCCATTCCGCCTACCGGAATGGATTCCTGATAATTAGAGACGGGTCCCTGAAAATCAGTCATTACTCGAAAAATGAGTGATGCCCCTGAAAAATCGTGATAATGTCACCGAAATTGGAGATAAATTCCCGAAGACCAGTGACATGTTCCCGAAAATCGCTATCATATCCCTGAAAATTAACTCTTATTTTCTCTGTGGATTTCCACCCGCTCTCTACGAATTTTCCAATGCCGTGCAATTTTTTGCGCGACTCAATACCGCGAGTGCCCTGAATTTAATCACCCTGAAAATGTCAATGAAAACTTAATTTCGTATTTAACCTGTATCCATGCCCGTTGCTTGGGCCCAATCGGCCAAGGTCGTCAGTTTTCTCGCTTCGTTGACAGTCGCGTCACAGGAGTTGTAGGAGGCCTTCGCATCTAAACCAATGACCTTGTACCGACTCTTGACGCCGGAAAATATAGCAGTCGCTGTACCAGCTGAATCGGGCACCTGCTTATCCACGTTGTAAGTCTAAAGGATAACGACGAAAATTGGAAAGAGGATTATACAACTCCGTCACGTGTGTGTTATCGCCGACTAAATTCCAAAGTTATGCGAGTAATGGGTTGTGTTTTGAGAGCCGTCTATAAAAATTAATTGCGCGAACGGACTAAGAAAGCAGGCAAATTATCGGAGAGGCTCGGAGGAATGAAAATCAAAAGATTGTTCCATATTTCAGTGATTCACCTTCGAGAATCCAGTGTTTGGAAATTCTTCGAATATCAATTTATATTCTTCACCAGCTAAACCTTTCCGCTGACCAGTCAATATTCTCCCCGATGTTATTGACGCCATTCCCATGCCATCGCCGATGAATATTATTATGTTTTTGGCACGTTTCTCTACATTTCTCATGCCCAATACCCTCTGCAAATTCTTCTGACCAGATTTCATCCAGAATGACATGTCTGATTATGAGAATTAATATTATTAATCTGTTTCAATTATACATGCTTAAAGTTTATGAGAAAATTACCCTCATAGTCCGTGGATCCTTGGCGCAGCGAGAACGAACGTTGGAAACTAACAGCCAGGCAGAGAAATACGAGACAATAGCCCATCTTTCTGCAATAATAGTTTACTGCAAGTTTACTTTGACGAAAACGTTTCGATTCGAGTGATGAGTTGGCGAAAATTCATTGATTGCATGGGAAAGTTTATTTCAAAGTGTCTTTATGATTGCTGACAACTGTTATGAAATGAAAATATGAATTGTTTTGGAAATTTAAGCGAAAGTGGAACTTCACGGAGAAAAAAATTAATGAAAAAAGAGAAAACTGCATTTTCCTCCCGTTCAGAGAAATATGCGCAGAAATGGCGCCCAGAGTTATGATCATCGGAAAGATATCTTTTGAAAAATATTTGAAACAAAATGCCCGCGACAAAACATTACGGAATGGTTTAAATTTTCTGAAAATAGGACGACATTTCTCTTAACTCACTAAATTTACTACATTTATACTTTTTTTTCTTTTTAGAAATGTTTGTCAAATTTTAGTTCCGCTGCACTTTCAAGCAATTTCAGAGTTTTATGGAACAATTAAGGAGGACTGTAAATTTTATTTCAATTTATTTATCAAAATTAATAGAAATCGGGTAAATTCTGCATAATTTAGCACTAAATATTCAGGTTTTCCTTAAAAATGCAAGAAATCCGATGAATTCTCCTCTTAAATGTTTGGAATTTCAGAGAATTTTCAATGAAACCCGAACTTTCATGATTTTTTCCCTCTAAAACGCCTTCAGTGTCACTTTCCTGAAAATTGCTAGCCGACCGTCCATCCAATTTCAATTTTTTTCTAACGGTGTATCCGATAATTTACCCTTCGCTTCGCATTTTTCCGGTGTTCAAATAAAAATCCCTGCACCGTAATTTTTCACGTGACTTTTCTCTCCCTGTGCTGACATGGAAAAACAATACATGAATGTCAATCGAATGGTTCTTGCACTGGAATATACGAACTGGGTGTTGAAGCGCGACGTGTTTCACCAATTTGCATAGCTAAACTGCACCGGACGAAACTGATCACAGGGTCCAAACTAAAAGTGTTACGCTGCAGTCTTTATATTCACTCAATCCGAACATTTTCGCGTTTATGATTGCGTTGGCTTGCAAATCGCTGGAAAAAACTGCCGAGCCAGTGGACCATTACCGAATCTGTTAGTGATATCGACCTCGAGATACAACATTGACTTTTTCTTAAAATGTTGCACAAATTCACGGAATCACTGACCTCCCTCCAATGGAAACTGAAATTTCCATCGAAAGAAACTAATAAAAGAAATCCCGAACGATGAAAATAGATCGATATAAGAATTCCCTATCGCGCGGAATCGAATTTCGATTATGAAAAACAATTAAATTCCAGAAAATTGTTGCACAAATTCGCAGAAACACCGATCTTTTCCCCCAATAAATGAAATTTGCAAAAGAATACGAATAAATCACGAATGACGAAATTAAATCAATATGAGGATTGCATTTCGTGCAGAATCGAATTTTGATTATGAAAAACAACTAAATGTCCGATAATTGTTGTCCAAATTTTCGGAAACGCCGATCTTTCCCCCGATAAATGAAATTTCCAAAGCAATACGACTAAAATAAATCACGAATAATGAAACTAAATCGGGATGAGGATTGCATTTCGCATGGAAGCGAATTCTGATCATGAAAACCAATTAAATTGACCTGATGACCGACTTACGAGAAGAACATTATGAAGCACGATGAGGCGTACAAGGGGCGACTAGCCGGTAGTTGAGTTAGTCGGGCTCACGAATTTCCGGTGGTAATGATTCCTTTCAATTCCTCTCCATTCCTTGACACTTGGCTCAAATGTCTGACAATGATTTTTTAATTCCCGCTGAGCCCAGGTCGAGACTCTTGTCAAGTGATGAGAGCTTGACGATGTGCTGGCGCACGTCGACTAGTACGACAAAACGTGCAAGTTTGTCACTTTATATAGCACTGCCTGCGGGGGCTCGGTTAGGTCGGACTAGAGCCGAGTGAGTCTGCGAGTGTCGTCGGTAACGTGACGTTGGATTGTTTGGATAATCGTGTACACGAGCTGGAAACGCGCAAGGGAGCCACGATGTGGATCAGCAGGCACATCAGTCCCCCGACCATTCAAATACACGCCTCGGGGCGAGGAGGGAACTACCAACACACTCAGAGTAAAGCGCGTTGGATTGAGGAGTCCAGTTAGAGGGGTATAGAGGGTACCCTTTGCCTCCAGCCCCTCCTGCTCTAATCTCTCGCAGATAATTCTCACGCTGGACTCGTCAAAGCCAGCGACAAACTTTTCCGTCAGTTTCAGAAACTCAGGCATTTTTATTCCACAATTCCTCCATTTTTCCACCAATTTTCTGCAGCTACTATTCATCAAATCAATTAGACATCTGTCTTTCAGAGCCATTGTGCAACGGAATTCCGCTGTTCTCCGGAATTATCCTTAATTATGTTTACATAATGGAAATATTTTCTGAATAATTTTCGCCACGATTTTGTTGAAAATGTTATTAGAGCGATTAATCGTCTTGCGGTGGAATTTGAGATTAAAAATACATGAGTAATGGGGGAAAATTGCGAGTAAATGCCTCTGCATCAATTTGTTTGCACCAAGTGATAAGATATCACGTCTTACTGGACATCAATGCAAGCTCCTCCGGCAGATCGGAATGAAGCTCGACACTTCTCGTCGCATCGCTTTTATACTCTGGGCATGTCGATATGGGCTGTTGTGTCGTGATTAATTGCAATGAGTCGTCAGAAATTATATGATTCTTCAATTGACACACGTGATTGCATTGATCCAGAAAACGTGCTGGATATTTTTCATTTTTTCATCACGAATCTGAAGCGTGGGATTTACTGACATTGCTGTGTACTTGCCCGTGCGAATATATTTGCGAGGGAATTAATTGGGAAAATTTCATTGCGTGTCGTTCGGAGAATACAATTTGCGAGAATGATGCAAGGGTGACAAGACTTGGGCAAACGTGATGGAGTGATTTCTAGTGGCTAATCTCCATAAATTCCCGGACATTTTCGTTAATTGTTATTCTACTATATTGAGATTAGGCAAATGGAAAAGGAATTCCGCGAAATGGCCATCATTTTTCCTTCCTCGAGTGTAAAAGTAAATTTATCTATTACCAAATGAGTAAAAAATTTGTATTACTAATTTTCGAAGAGATAAGCGACAAAAAAACATGATTCAATTATCGGGGATTCGAGCCCTCCAGCGGTAGCAAATCGCTGGGTCATCATTGGCGCACGAGAGACACATCCCGAAATGGGGAAAGAGCGGAGTTCAAAGCTCACGCGTTTACGAGTTCTTTGGAAAGAGTGTTCAGCAGGCGTACACGTTCCGGCGAAATCTATCGGGCGGTTGCAGCACGTGTTTCTCCGAGCGTTATGATGCTTCGATGGGTTAATGCGAACGTGATCGTCCCATGGTGATTTAGTTTCGGGCACCCCACTAAGGAAAGCAAACATTCGTACTGTTAAATATAAATCCGGGCGTTATCATATCGATGAACAAACAAGAAGGAACGAATGTCAGTGTAATTTTTGCTTGATTAAGGGTCACTGACTTTTGACGATTTTTTGTGGATAAATAATGGAGAACGGGTTTATCGGAAATTGTGGAGATTAGCCACTTTCCTCATTCTTATATGCAGCGTTGGGGCGTGGGGGGTCAAATTCCACCTGAGGCGTTTGTACCCCCCCCACCCCCACTCTTTTTTCCATGAATTAGCCCTCTAGCGGCTGTTGGCTCATTAGCAAAGTGGTAATCTGCGAAAGATTATCGATATTTTGTTTTGTGACGAATTAATTCCGTAATCTTTATGACACGAAGAGCTTTTCTTTAATCGAAGTGGCGAATTGTTGAACACTGCTGGAAAAAAATTGAAATTTCAGGGATACTTTGACTGTAATTTTCAGGGGAGTAACATTGAGTTCGATTTTGGGAGGAAAATCATAAAATTTTTCAATTTCCCTGAACGCTCCAGGGAATCCCGATTTTTCCGCAGCGGGAATACGGGAGTTCCCCAATTTACTTGAATTCTCAATTGAAATCTACGGTATTTCTAAGAATAAAAGCAATTAATTCATCAATTTTTTAATTGTAACTTCAGTGGAGCTGTAGCTTGATACAGAAAGAAATTTCCAAAAAATGTACCGGAAATCTCAGCTGGAAATTTTTAACAGTGAATGGCCGTGTTTGCGCAGAAATAAATCCCCGTATTTTTCTGATTATCGCAAGGTCACGCGACGGAGCCGGCTCTGATTGTTCAAATAAAATTATCCCCAAAGATAAGACGCGGTTTTGCATATTGCAATGTTCAGAGACAACAGCGTCGAAAAATTCCTATTGAGTTGCTCAATTGCTCGCAAATAATTTATCCAACAAGTGTCTGTTTTTTTCATGTTAATTGAGTAATGTCTCCAGTGTCACTCAGAATATATCTTCTCTCCTCAATTACCAAAGGATTTAATTGGTTCATGCGACTCTGCGTCCTATTTGTAATGAGAGGGGGCAGGGCTGGCTTAAGCTGTGATGTCACACGATATTTTTTTTCCATTATCAAGCGAGGGAATTGCAAATGCAATTTTCATTACTTTGCGCTTCGCGTGCGCAAAATCCCACTTTCCACACATTGCGATAAACAATGGGATTCGACACTCGTGAGAAAAGTGTCCATGACCCTCGGGAGGGCAGCACTCACCTTCGGCGAGTGCTACACACCTCCCACGAGTCAAAAAACACTTTAACACACTCGTATCGAAATACATTATTTGTTGATATCTCCTTTTTCTCACGGAAGAAAAGAGAGGTTCTACGAGCTCTTCGGAATATTCAAAGATTCATGAAGAGGAATATCGGAATATTAATGCTGAGTCTTCTTTTCTTTGTTCTGGTTTCTTAATTCAATTTTATAGAAAAAAAAAATGAAAAATTCGGGATAACAGGGAAAAACAGAGGTTTCACCAGTTCTCCAAGCAATCCCGAAGATTCACGAAGAGAAATTTCAGAATGCCGTCATGACGACAATTTAATAAGTTAAGAATTGCTCACAGAGCATCGCATAAAGATTTAATTGTTCAATTACTCTTTAGTCTTCTTTTTCTTATTCTTGTTTTTTAATTCAATTTTATGAAAAGAATAATAAATTCGTCATACCAAGGGCAGTCGTGGATTTTGTGGCGTAATATTCAAGGGCCCATGTTTGTGACAGCTTGTGATTGAGGAAAGTCCAAAGTACAATGTTGAAATAAAAATGAAATTTCGTGGACAGTTGACTACTAATTTTCAAACCAGTGACACTGAATGCAATTTAGGGGAAAAAATCATAAAATTTCAGGTTTCACTGAAAATTCAGTAAAAATCCAGAATTTTAAGCAGCATAAAGACGAGCATTCCTTAATTTATTTGAATTTCCAATCTGATATGAATATTCAGTCCCAAATTACATTGAATTTGAAATCTGAAATTTCACGATTTTTCCCCCTAAATCGCTTCCAGTGTCGCTGCCCTGGAAATTTACTAAAACATTCACCGGAATTTTCTGGTTTTCTGCTCATTTTCCGGGAAAAATGGAACTGAAATTTACAGTTCTGGTTAATTTTTCCACGAAATTCTGAATGACGAAATGCCTTGAAATTTCACTGGCAATTAAATTCCATAAAAATTTCCAAAAGTGCACCGGAAACTTCAGCCAAAAATTGTTAACAGTGTGCGCGGTACGTAATATTTGAATACCCCTTTCGCTCGGGCAGTAAACCCCACTCGCCAAAAAATTGGTTTACCAACCCGTCAGGTAAACGGTTTTGCCCACAGCCCCCCTGGTAAACCCACACGATAACAGACTTCAAACAGTCGGGCTTATCGGCGCTAGATGTCGCGTGAAGCCGTCAACAGTTTTGTACGCGAAATGTGCTTCGGAACGACCACCGCGGTGTTTTAGAGCACGCATGCGCAATACCACTCAATACACTCCGTCCGATACGCCTGACATTTACACGGGCCGGTGAGAACCCGACAGGGACAGAGGAGCCAGACCCTGAACTGGTTCGACACGGTCCTCGAAGCAGCCAAGATGGCGTGTGTTGTACGGTTTTTGTAAGCAGCGTGGACTCCGTCATCAGGGGGATTAATTTTTTACTGATCCTCACATAAAATCGCATAAAATTGAAAAATAAAACACGTATCAATCGACAACCCCACGATGCCCGGTCCAGTGTTGTAACCGTGGATTATGCGATTCTCTTTATTCACTCGAATGATGTTTGAAGAACTTGATTCACAAGAGGTGAAAAAAAATGTACGTTTTTCCCGCGAGGGTATGAGAGAGGGAGGTTAACGCAATAAAAAAAAATATCAGGTATAGAACAGTTGTTTTTTGGGGTCACACCCCGCCACCCCGGGAAATCCAGTGCCGTTAGGATCTGTTGATACAGCCGGTCGAGTGTTGAATGTTGACAGTGAAAGTGTGAAAAAGACAGTGGAAAAGGGTAAACAAAACGAAATGAGCGCTGTGACGCCAAGCGTTGTCGAACAACCGGCGGAATCGTGTCGTGAGAGTGAGGTTGATGCTATTATTGAGGAGAAAAATCGCCTGATAACGCGTCAGTATGCTGAGATCGAACGTCTTCAGCGGGAACTCGCGGAGATCATCGGGGAGAGGGATGCACTGCTCTGCGAGGTGTCAAAATTCAAATTCGAGCTCGAAATATCAGATCTCAAACGCCTCCACGATGACAGGTGAGTCGTATTTCATGTATTCTTGTTGCATTTATTTATTCTCTGGTTCATCATTCAATTGGTATCGTTTTTGGAGTCAGGGACCTCGTGAGGCAATCTCTGGAGACACTTATTTTTAGTGTATATTTATATTCCGTTTCGCAACGACTCTGAAGGATGAGAATTGTGTGGCAATCGCGGCGTTTATTCGCGAGAAATTTCAACGGTTTTTCTATTCTAGTC